GGAAGAATCCTCCCTTAGCATTTTTCCCATTCATCCCACCACTAATCCACTTCCAAACAAAATAATTACATTTCTGTTCATTTACAGAAGAGCAACAGTTGTTTATTCCATGTACAGACCACAATTTCTGAAACATGTATCTTTCAGATGAAACATTCAGCTGTTCCATGCATAGATCGTTTTGCACATCCTTGGTACTAATACAACCAGCAATGTGACTACAATAATAAAATTCAGCAAACTTATCTTAAATACAGATCTTAAATACAGTTATTAATAAAAACAACAGTAATCTCACATGAAGGACACCAAAAGAAAAGTATAAGAAAAACAATTAGTATTTAAAAATAGGACTTTATTAGGCTGGAGATCCACAGATTTTTCCACAACATTCTTGACTGACAGGTTTGTACTAAAAATGAATGTTATTAAGGCCTGGGATACATAAAATGATTTAATGTTAATATCTATTATTGAATTAACATTTTGATGCAAATTTTAATTTAAAAAAAGTAGAAGGAATGGGAAGGCATTACCTGAATTGTTAATTCCAGTAGTAATTAAACTTATATAGCACTTCAGAACGCTTTACAGCCCTCTAAGCAGTTTATAGAGTTCAGCATATTACCCCCAACAATGTGGGTCCTCATTTTACTGACCTCAGAAGAATGGAAGGCTGAGTCAATCTTCAGCCTGAGGTTTGAGCCTCTGGCAGTGAGCAGTCAGCCTGAAATACTGCATTCTAACCACTGCGCCACCATGGCTCTTAAATAAATTAAAACAAGAATAACTGGGGGGTTATTTGTTTAGGTGGTTGCCTCATTTTCTTAATATTTCTTTGTTGGCCACAGTTGAAAAAAGTAGAGAAACCATGTTCTAACTTTTTGTCTCTTTTTGTAATACTCATTATTTCAAGTACTAAACATATTTTACATTTATAAATGCAGATGTTCTGTCGTATACTTCAAAGTAGTCTAAACACATACCTTTGCAATTTTTGAGGGGTTTTTCAATTCTACCTTGAGCTTTTCAAAAATTTACCTTGAGAAATGATTGTTTTTGTAAATGTAAAGATGGAGTATTAGACTGGGATTTCTACCTTATCCTTGCTAGTTCATCTAAAACATTAAAAAGTCCTCAATGATAGCAGCATAGCTTTTTCACAATTTATGATCTATGAACATTGGCGTAACCATGGAACCATAATGGTATTATAGTGTATACCATAAGTCCCAAATTCCTATGCTCCATATTTTCTACAGTAATTTCCCCCCAAAAAATTCATTAACGAACAGAATATTAAAGTTTACCTTTTTCAAACTTAGAAAAAGCAACTGATTTGAGACTGCACTGATGTCCTTTGCATACTCCCAAGAGTTCACCAGTCTTTATATCCCACACTTTTGCAGTTTGATCCCCTGAAGCAGTAACCTTAGAGAAAATAAATGTAATAGTTTACCACTGGAAACAAAAAATTGATACCTTTAACATAAGCTTATGAAACAGAAGCATTTTTCAATAGATGTATGAAGTGTTAATTCAATATTATGTATATTTACTCAAAAATAAACTCCAGCAAGTTCAGGGGAACTTAGTCCCTACATAGAATTCCTTGTTTTGGAAGGTATCAGATACATAGATGGTTAAAGACATCTAAGTATAAGACTGGATGTACTCCTGGTCCTCAATTTATGATCACAGATGAGCCCAAAATTTCTATTACTAAATGAGACAGATGTTAAGTACGTTTTGCCCCATTTTATGACCTTTCTTGTCATAGGTATTAAGTGAATCACTGCAGTTCTTAAGTTAATATCATGATTGTTAAGTGAATGTGGCTTCTCCAGAACTCAGAAGTTTGCAAAAGGTGATCACATGACTCTGGGACACAGGAACCGTCATAAATGTGAGTCACTTGCCAAGCATCTGAATTTTGATCACATTTCAAGTTCCCAGTGGTTTCCTATCATGTTTTGCTGTGTTGAACGAAAAAAACAAAAGGCATTTTGTGTTTTCTTCCACTGGAGCCCAGAAAACATAGATATTACTATAGAAAGTTTGTCCTGAATTAAAACCAAACCTTTCTATATTTAATGCATGGCCTAGATTCTGGTCATATCATTTATCTTCTAAGCTGTTATATTACTAAGCCCTCTAATGATCCTGCTAGAGTATTAGGAGCCAAATAAAGCATAACAATATATTGCTAGTAACAAAAGTAAAGGAAATAGTGGCATCCATATTTAATGAAACAAATAGTGATTTACAATACTCACAATTTTGTGGTCATAGGGCATCCATGCAAGATCAAACACAGCATTTAAATGAGCTTGCCATTCTGAAGTGAAAGTGAAATATATTAGATCTAAATAAACCACATTCTTTGTAATAAAAAGTCCACATATGAAAAATGAAGACTATTACCTTCATCAAATTTACAAAGAACAATATCACAATATAAATACAGTATTCAAAAAAACCCTCTACAAGCTACTGCTTTTATCAAATAATCTAATTTATATGGTCCAAATACAAGACTTTTTTTTACCTTTAACAATTTTCTTGTTGCTCAGTTGTGTGTGGGTGTCATACAGCCTAACAAATCCCTCTTCATTGGCAACACCAAGTACATGTTGCACATCTGGAGCTGAAAAATAATGTAGTAATATTTGTATTTTAAAACCTTTTGTATGCTTTTTAATAATACACAATTTTTCTGCATCAGAGAATTACTATCATATATTCTAAGTGTTAATCATACAAAACACAAAATACAAAGGCATTCTTTATTCATTTTTTCCTTATTCTTATTATTGTAAGAATAGACAAGCATTGCCTACTTTGAAAGATTAACTTAATAACTAACAAGCTACTTTAAAAGACTGGCAGATACTGTAATTAAACAAGGGGAATTCAGCTAATGAACATAAACAAGTTCTCCTTTTGCTATATCCTTCTGATAGCTGCTTTCAAAAGAGGAATGCATAATCAATTTCTTTATGCATTAATTGCTTTACTTTTCCAAGATTACTTACTTTCCTACCTTTGCTGAATTTGGAAAAATTTGCTAATTTGATGGTAGATGGTGGATATTTTCTTCATTTTGTCATGGAAATACTTATATACGGATGGGTGTAGCCTAGCTGAAAATTCAAAAAGCATCCCAGAAAAATGTAATGCCAAACCATTTCTGTACTGCAAAGAAAAGTGTAGGATATTTTCAACTCCAAAAGTAACTGACTCTATATAATTTACTACTCACCATAAACTCCCTAATGCACGGGTGTCAAACTGTGACCCGTGGGCTGGATGCATCATAGCGAAACTGCGCCCACCCCATTGCCGGCAATGGCAAAAAAAATCACGATACATTGCGACACATCATGTGACATTGCAAGTTTGACACCCCTGCCCTAATGCATCAAAGTAACTAGCCTTCAACTTAATTAAGCCCAAATAATTTGAATGTTGCCAAACATTGTCCAGCATGTTATTTCATCTTTATGATTAGGAAATTTTTCAGTCTAATATGTGCCAGTTTGTTTGGACTACGAATCAGATAATTTTTACTTTTCCATTGACCATAATGGCTTTGTATTATAGTACAAAAGAAAAATAAAATTAGAAATCACATCAGAACAGTCTACCTTTAAACCAACATAATGACAAACCACTTTACCTGTTGAAAAGCTACAGCCAAAAGGAGGAACTGGAATTCCCATTTCTCCATAGGAATGATGGTCATCTTCCTTAATACACTGATACTGACCTAATAGATGGTGTAAGGAAAATCTTGGTGCCAAACCTACCAAAAAAGAAATTTATAAGACAGATAATTTTATGTTAATTTTTTTACTGACAGTAATAAAATAATGAAACAGTAATAAGCATAGAAGCCATCTCCCCAGTTTATTAGTGTTTTCAAAAAAAATTTGTTTAGTGTTAAGTAGTTCTCTCATCCTCGGTCTCCACTGATCATGTCATATGGAAATGCTAGTATATGTGGCACCAGTAGGCCAAATTATCTCACCCACTATTCAGTCAAATATGGGTTTGCTGTACAGCATGTTTCTTTGATCCACCTCCCCCACCTCTAAGTATTGTATTTTTAAGTGCTTTACAAGGTCTACAATATACAGTATTTGGATTCAGAAATCAACATAATTCTGCCTACTATTAACTTTCATTTCATTAGGGCAGGTTGGGGGTGTGTGAGCTGAGCCATTTAGCTGCGTGGTCCTGGCTGCCCAGAGTCATTTTTGGTGAACGGGGCAGCTATACAAATCTAATTGACAAATGAATGATTCACGAATAGAGGATTATCTGTTTATGTCAGAATGACAAGGGGAAAAGAGAACAGGGAAGACGCAGGCATGCTTTCCTCACTCCCTCGAGGAATTAAAAGAGTTAAAAGAAAGCTCATCTTAAAGACCAGTGGAGGAGTAGCGAGGGTTGTTATGTTTTGATCCCGTTCTCCCTATAACTCAAGGCAGAGAGCATACCTAGTATTCCTTCCTATTTTCCCCACAACAATTAATTCTATGAGGTGGGTTGAGCTCCGAGAGTGACTGGCCCAAATTCATCCAGCTGGTTTCCAGCCTAAGGGAGGCCTGGAATTCTGAGCCCCCTGGCTTCTCGGTTACACCAAACCGGCTCTTTTCAGGAGCGAGGGGCTTCCCGACACTTACCCTGCGGTCCGGCCTGACAGCGACGGATTAATGAACGACACAGCATCCCTACCAGCCGCTGAAAGTTCTATTGTCACCGCGCGCTGAGTCCGCGGGGAAAAGAACAGCTTCTCCACAAGTTCTCCCGCCAACCCGAAGTCCGCGCCAAAGTCACTTTTCTACAGCTATTGGCTACCCTGGCGGCAAGAAGCCACACCTCCTCTTTTCTATTGGCTACCCCTATTCCACAGCAAGATGATGCCACGCCCTTATACGCGAGACATTCATTTTATAAACCAACCCGTCTTTTTTTTGAATCGCGCATGCGTAACAACTTTTCCACCTCCTACTCTTTCGATAGCCCATTTTCCGGAAAGGGTGATCCGTATGCTACCGTAGCAGGACTGGCGGCGGGAACGCGACTGCGCAGGTGCCTAAGCCTGGGGTCTGCACAAGCGCGGATAATTACTGCTGGAAACGGAAAAGAGACAGGATAAGCGATTTCGTGTCTGTGTAAAAAAAATTAATAAAGAGTTATTCTACAATTCCTTTCAAAATCCTTCTTGTATAACTGGGAATGGCTTCCGTTTCCAAACCCTTTCTTGCCGATGCCGGCTACGGGGAGCAGGAATTGAATGCCGATGCCGCACTCATGGAATTGGATAAAGGTAAGTAAAATGGAGGGGGTGGGGTGAGGAACTTGTGGCACGATGTGCGCATGCGCGAATAATGTACTTACTAGTGCCTTAAAGAAGTCCCGCCTTCTCGTTTTGTTTTGAGCGCAATCGTCCTGTTGGGGCTTAGCAGAAGGATGAAGTTGCTTTAGGTTGGAGCGGAAGGCTTGTGACTTTTTAAGATTGCCAGTTTTATTATTGTGTATTTTAAGATGCCACAAGCTTCTTGTTCAACTCTCTCTCTCATTCCAAGGCAAAACAGGTAATCCTCGATTTACAACAGTTCATTTAATCACCGTTCAGAATTACAGCATCACTGAAAAAAGTGACTTATGAACATTTTTCACACTTAACTACCCTTGCAGCATCCTCACAGTCACGTGATCAAATTCAGACAGTTGGCAACTGACTTAACATGAGGGTTGTAGTGTCCCAGGATCATGTGATCACCTTTTGTGACCTGACAAGTAAAGTCAATGGGTAAACCAGATTCACTTAACAAACATGTAATTAACAACTGCCATGATTCACAACTGTGGCAAGAAAAGTCGTAAAATGGGACAAAACTCAACAAATGTCTCATTTAGCAACATAAATTTTGGGCTCAGTTGTGGTCATAAATTGAGAACTACCTGTACTCAACTTTTCCAAAGTGGTTGATTGTCCTGAGTCATTAATTACCTCAGCCAACAACTATCCTGTGTGGTGCAAGTGACATTAAGTCTCATCTGTTTTACCATAGAGCAGCATGAGCCTATTTAGGTCAAGTTATCCCCCCTGTGCACTGAAAAAATTTAGATTAAACATCCCAGGCAGTTGTGCATTGGGCTTTTGTTTGAATACTTTCATTGAAAATGCCTAATCTATGCTTGGATAAAATTAAGCAAGTCCTGTCTTGTTCCAAAGATCACTGCCCAGTATTGGGGGTGATTTGAATCACTCCAAATTTATATAACATTTTCTGTTTATTGACCTGCTTCTTTAAAGGTATGACCTCACTCTTAAAAATTTTAAGCCCCAAACTTTAAAATGAAGAAGAACATAAACAGGATAGTTTGCCATTTAAAATAATGTTATTAAAAATTACATTAAAAAATACAAACTAGGAAAAATAAAAATAGGAAGTACAGAAAAAAAGAGGAAAGAAAAAAAAAGAGGAAAGAAAAAAATAAGAAAATGATAAAAGATAATATAAGGAAATGATTTCCCACTTCATCACAAGTATAAACAATAAAAAGGACAGTTTTCAAACATCTAGCCCAAGTTTTCCTTATGTGGTCAGTGCTTATCCATTGTTGTACTACTATTAGAAATCATTTCATTAGGAGCATTTAATTCTCTCTCTCTCTCCCTCTCCCTCTCCCTCTCCCTTTTGTTCTCATTCCCAGCATGCACTGGAGCAGCAACATAAGCTGAGGAAAGGGGTGGGATCACAATCTGCAAAGTGCCAGGCATGGCATTGTGATTGCTCCATCCCTTTTGATATGCAGTTATATCATATACATGTAGATTTTGACCCTGAGATTTTGACTTTCCCCATAGATGCCTCTGTGCTAGACTAAAATCCAGAGCCATGTAAATAATAATATACTAGCAGGATAAGGAGTAAAACAAGAACAATATACATACACACCAACTAGAACAGTAGTGATAAACCTATGGCATGGGTGCCAGAGGTGGCACTCGGAACCTTCTCTGTGGACACGGACGCGGTCGCCCCAGTCCTAGGCTTTCAGCTGGGTTTTATAAAACCTTTTTGCTTTAGGCCTCCACCATCGTGTGCAAAAAAAAAAAAAAAAGGTTCAGTCAATTTCAACTTCTCACGAGAAAAAAAAAGATCTTGCAAAGTTGGAATTGATTGATTGAACTTTTTAGTCCCACCCAATCTGCCATTACCATCGCAGCCATGCCCACCCAATTGGCCACGCCCACCCAATTGGCAACACCCAGCCAATGGGCCACACACACCCGGCACTCGACGATGCATAAGTGGGTTTTGGGTTGCAGTTTGGGCACTCAGTCTCTAAAAGGTTTACCATCACTGAACTAGAACAGAGTGATCACAATGGTACAGCTGCACAATTAAGAGGCAACTTTGTTGTCTGAATTCTTTTTGCATCATGACAGTAATCCAGTTGGGTGCAGTTGAAGAAAAGCTGGATTTCTATTTCTAGTCCTCTATAAGAGCAGTGGAAAGGTCTTTTTGATATATTACTTTCTCCCATAGGGCTTCTCCAGTGGAGATGGGATTGAAAATTGTATCCTATGCAGGCTTCTTCAATGAATAAACTGCATTGTGTGGAATTTTTAAAATAAATATATTAAATATATTTTTTATGAATTTATTTCATGCTCAGGTCATATGTGTTGTCCCTTAGACAAATAATTTTGAACGCTCTATAACTGTATGATTCTTTGTTGTTGTTTCTAGAGACTGTAGCATTGTGCTGTGTTATTTGTCATAGGTCTTCGATCTGGCAAGTTGGGAGAACAATGTGAGGCTGTTGTCCGTTTTCCAAGACTCTTTCAGAAATATCCATTCCCAATTTTAATTAATTCAGCATTTTTAAAGCTAGCTGATGTTTTCAGAGTTGGGTGAGTGAATATTTTTTGTTTCTTAATTTTAGTACCCTAGTATCTGCGTTGTTTTCTATTTGATCCCTGGTGATTTTTTCTTAAACACTTTAGAATCACGATTGCTGAAAGATTAGCTTCTTCATTTTAAGTCTTGTATTCTTTGTAAAATAATCAATGGAGGTCCTGTTCTATGTCTCATGGACCTCTGTGTTATTTTTTTGAATAGGATTAGCAAGAAGCTGCTTGCAACTGAAGAAAGCCCTTCTTTATTATACAGATTTTTTTCTGTTGGGAGATTTGCAATTTTGACTATTTTTAAATATGGTATTTAATTCTGAAACTTTTTATTTGATGCACACTCTTTCATTATGTTTGCTAACTGCTTTGGAATTGATCAGGAAAGAAACAGTACAATTATCATCAATTAAACACATTATATATATTTTTAAAAACAGTAACAACTTCCTGAGGCTGTGTGTTCTGAAAGTGACCCAGCAAAGTGAGAAGCACTTGGAAAAGATCCTGAATGTGGATGAATTTGTAAAAAGAATTTTCTCAGTTATTCATAGCAACGATCCAGTTGCTCGAGCAATCACACTAAGGTATGCCTGTCTATCAAGGAAGGCTGCCCAGATGCTGCCTATCTGTCTGTCTGTCTGTCCTATCTACCGTGTTTCCCTGAAAATAAGACCTATCCCGAAAATAAGACCTAGCCTGATTTTTTCCACAGGCACTTAATATAAGCCTTATCCCCAAAATAAGGTGCTTTGGCCAGTGTGTAATATATAATTGATAAATAAAACAACATAAAAATAACATTAAAATTAAGATAGGATTAAAAAAAAATACTTTCCCCCAATATTGCTATTATTGTGAAGGTTTTATACTGAATTCTTCTGTTTTCTTCTCCAGGATGTTAGGCAGTATGGCTTCCATTATCCCTGAGAGGAAGAATGCACATCACAGTATCCGCCAAAGCCTCGATTCACATGACAACGTTGAAGTTGAAGCTGCCATTTTTGCTGCAGCCAATTTTTCTGCCCAGTCCAAGTAAGAACAGCACCTAGGATGTGTTTATTGTTCCCAAGTTAGCAATCAATTAATCCTTGATATCTCAATAGACTTTTACTTACATTATTTTCTTATTCATTTCTTTTCATTATTTTTTCTGAAGGAGATGGGTTGTTTAGAGGTTTGAAATATAAACAATAAAATAAACTTTAGCAATTTTTGCAAAAATGTCAGTACAGGTAGCTCTCAGGTTACAACAGTTTGCTTAATGACCATTCAAAGTTACAGTGGCACTGAAAAAAGTGACTTATGATTTTTTCACACCTAGGACCATTGCAGCATCCCCACGGTCACATGATCAAAATTCAGATGCTTGGCTACTGGCTCATATTTATGACGGTTGCCGTGTCCCAGGGTCATGTGATCACCTTTTACAACCTGCTGACAAGCAAAATCAATGGGGAAGCCAGTATTGATCTTTCACTGCTGTGTTCCCCTATAATTTAGAGGAGTGGGGGGGGAGACTAATAGAGTGAACCTCACCAGTGCTTTGTTTTATAGATTGTTTTGTAATAAAAATATTGTATTATAAGTTACTAATAAATTACTAATTAAGATTGAGTCGTATGTAGGAAGTGAACAAAATATAAACCAGGAACTTTATCGTTTTGACTGAAATAGTATTCTTACTTAGAACTAAAGCCCACAGAATTTTGTGAAATATATTTCTGACAACAGGAATTGAAATGTTTTATTAATTTCTTATCTGTTGCACGACACTATTTCTTACTGACATTTAGAGATGGGTATAGTTCATATTAATTTGTACTGTACAACAATGAAGTTGTAGTTTTTTTGAACACTGAAAACCACTAATGCCAACAGTCATTTAACTATGCTGTAGTGGCAACAGTACAAATCTTAAAATATAGTATAGCATTCTTGGGAGCTTGGTAATCTCTGACTATCTTTACCTCAGGTCAAGCAGAGAGGGAGCGAGAAGGAGATAGAATGAGTAATGTAATTAAATAATTAACTAGTTTATTTTTTAAGGCTTAATGTTGGAAGCCTACATACAAATCCTAGTTAATGCAACTATTTGGTATAGTTGGCTTACCATTTTCTTCAGTGTTCTTGGTGTATTCATTGTTTTACATACACTGATTTACAAGCATATAAACTTTAATCTGATAATATCAGATCTAATAGTATGCTCCAAAAGAAAATATCACACTGCCAGAGTTTTCATGGTTTATTCTTATTTTGATTCATTATATTTTTCCTTCTTGACAGAGATTTTGCAGGAGGAATATGTAACAAAATCAGTGAAATGATTCAAGGTATATGTCCTCTGGATTTTCTCCTTGCATATCTGTGCCTTTGAGAGAGTTTTTTAAAAAGTGGTAATTCTGTTATTTAAAATATTTCAATTTTGAAGTAAAATTCTGGAAATGCTAGCTTAATCAAAGGGTGAGAATTTACTGGGTAAAAGTTTTGTCCATTTTAATCACTTGGTGACCTCCAAGGTCCCTTCCAACTTTACTACTACTACTAACTACTACTACTACTACTACTACTACTACTACTACTACTACTACTATTATTATTATTATTATTATTATTATTATTATCACAAAGTATTTCTGGGGTTGGTATTTCAAAGAAACATCTCATTGTAAATATTGTGAGAGGATAGCTGTGTTAGTCTATGGAAACAAAATTAGGAATCCGATAGCACTTTTTCAGATTAAAAATATTAAATATTAATTAAATATTAAATAAATTAATAATTTATTAATGAATAAAATGCCAATAAAATGTGCTCGTTTGTAAAGATTCCTTATGATTAAAGGGAATCTGTGTTTTATTGCTAATGTATAAAAAGACAAAACTTGAATCCTGATGGCTTTATGGACACATCCAAGTACAGTGAGGAAAAAAATATTTGATCCCCTGCTGATTTTGTATGTTTGCCCACTGACAAAGAAATGATCAGTCTATAATTTTAATGGTAGGTTTATTTTAACAGTGAGAGACAGAATAACAACAAAAAAAATCCAGAAAAATGCATTTCAAACAAGTTATGAATTGATTTGCATTTTAATGAAAGAAATAAGTATTTGACCCCTTCGCAAAACATGACTTAGTACTTGGTGGCAAAACCCTTGTTGGCAATCACAGAGGTCAGATGTTTCTTGTAGCTGGCCACCAGGTTTGCAAACATCTCAGGAGGGATTTTGTCCCATTCGTCTTTGTAGATCCTCTCCAAGTCATTAAGGTTTTGAGGCTGACATTTGGCAGCTCGAACCTTCAGCTCCCTCCACAGATTTTCTATGGGATTAAGGTCTGGAGATTGGCTGGGCTACTCCAGGACCTTAATGTGCTTCTTCTTGAGCCACTCCTTTGTTTCCTTGGCCGTGTGATTTGAGTCATTGCCATGCTGGAATACCCATCCACGACCCATTTTCAATGCCCTTGATGAGGGAAAAAGGTTCTCACCCAAGATTTGACGGTATATGGCCCTGTCCATCCCCCTTAGCAGAAAAACTTAATGTTTCTTCCTCCATGTTTGACGGTGGGGTGATGTTCTTGGGGTCATAGGCAGCATTCCTCCTCCAAACACAGTGAGTTGAGCTGATGCCAAAGAGCTCGATTTTGGTCTCATCTGACCACAACACTTTCACCCAGTTCCCCTCTGAATCATTCAGATGTTCATTGGCAAACTTCAGACGAGCCTGTACATGTGCTTTCTTGAGCAGGGCGACCTTGTGGGCACTGCAGGATTTCAGTCCTTCACGGCGTAGTGTGTTACCAATTGTTTTCTTGGTGACTATGGTCCCAGCTGCCTTGAGATCATTGACAAGATCCTCCAGTGTAGTTCTGGGCTGATTCCTTACCATTCTCATGATCATTGAAACTCCATGAGGTGAGATCTTGCACAGAGCCCCAGACCGAGGGAGTTAGTTTGTGTTTCTTACATTTGCGAATAAATGCACCAACTGTTATTACCTTCTCACCAAGCTGCTTGATGATAGTCTTGTAGCCCATTCCAGCCTTGTGTAGGTCCACAATGTTGTCCCTGACATCGTTGGACAGCTCTTTGGTCTTGACCATGGTGGAGAGTTTGGAATCTGATTGATTGCTTGCTTCTGTGGACAGGTGTCTTTTATGCGGATAACGATGAGATTAAGAGCACTCCCTTTAAGAGAGTGCTCCTAATCTCAGCTCTTTACCTGTATAAAAGACATCTGGGAGCCAGACGTCTTGCTGATAGATAGGGGACCAAATATTTATTTTACTCATTAAAATGCAAATCAGTTTATATCTTTTTTGAAATATTTTTTTTCTGGATTTTTTTGTTATTCTGTCTCTCACTGTTACAATAAACCTACAATTAAAATTATAGACTGATCATTTCTTTGATAGTGGGCAAACATACAAAATCATCAGGGAATCAAATAATTTTTTCCTCACTGTAGTTTTCTTGGCCATAATAGTAGTTTGGCATTGCCTTCTTCTGGAAAGTCTTTGTAACTTTTCAGTGACCCACAGGTCAGCTTTAATAGTCTTTTAAAAGCCAAAGTTGACAATAATAGTGAGGAAAAGTTTGTGAATTTTTTAAACTATAAATATAAACTGCAGTGCTGTGTGTGATCCTAGCTTCATCTAAATCCTGTCAACTGGTAGATTCTGATTAAACAACATATGAAAAAGTATCCTGTATCATATTTTAGTTAACATCTGTGTTTATTTTCACTGAGCTAGCATTTATTGTTTATTGGAAAACATTTTTTTTTATATTTAGTAACTGGTGGCACCTCCTTTAAGCTGAGTGTTTCAACAAAATGTTTCCTGTACCTGTTGCTGAATCCCATATAACAACTTGGAGTATTTTGTGTCAATAAGGATATTGTTGGTTATGGTGTTGTTGCTTACTGATAGCTCTGAAGGGCTCACAAACCTCATTACTTAGTTGGGTATACAGTATAGTAGAAATCAATTTTAGAAGTGTATTTGTTAATGCTTCAGAAGTTAATTTCATTACATAGAGAAAGAAGATTCCAGTATGATTCAGATGCCACAAGTCATTTACAATGGAAATTAGCTTCCATGTGCTCACTTTTCCTCCAGTATGCCTATGAGGAAGAAATTGTCCGTTTTTGATTGAGCAAGCTTCTTTCTTCATCTGAGCAAACAGGAATTCATTTTAAACTTCAAAGCATGGGTTATGAAGATGGCTTCTTTCAATAAATTACAGATAAAATTATCTGTTTCTACCACCACATGGAATAGTAAATTATGTAGATAATATGTTTAGTTGAATGCTTGTGATTTAACTTGCTTATCAGTAAAATAATTATTGGATAGTCTTACAGTGGGAATAGGTAACTTCAGCTTGTATCTAAATACAAACACAGCCTGAGGACATCCAAGGAGGAATGCTTTCTCCTTTGAATTTCTTGAGACCATAGAAGATAGAATATTTTGTTTTAATCCTAACATATTTCTTTTTGAGTGGCTGGCTCTGCCAACTCATTTTAGACTAGGTGTTTATATTACTCACTATTACTGTTTTATGTATCAAAATGTGTATACATGGTGCATTGTTGATACAAGCAACAGTGTAGGCCATGTCCTTGAATACCTATTGTTTCACCCCTACAGTCCTAATTTCAGTGGAGGCAGTGGGTTGAAAATTGAACTGCATAGTCTTTGCCCTGTAGCTGCAATCCTGTAATAATAGCACTACCCATATCTTTAATGTTTTTGGCATGTTCTATAACACCTCTACGGGCACCATCCCCCAATTTGATTATGCTTTATTCAGAAAGCTACTTTTCTTTAAACAGGTTTAGCCACTCCAGTAGACTTGAAACTGAAGCTGATCCCCATTCTGCAGCATATGCACCATGATGCCAGCCTGGCTTCCAGTGCACGTCAGCTGCTCCAACAACTGGTGACATCTTATCCATCTACTAAGATGGTCATTGTGACTTTGCATACATTTACCTTGCTTGCTGCCTCCTCTCTGGTTGATATCCCCAAGCAGGTAATCCTATTATTATTTACTGATTTGCTTTTTCTTTTGAAAGCATATAGCGTTTAAATGCACAAAAAAAGTGAAATTCATTTATCCTGGGTAAGTTGAAGAAATCTTATCTATCCTTCCTGACATATACTTTTATGGGCGGCGTATAGAGGTACATCCGTACTCGACTGCTTTAAAATGTGTCCCATTTGGTACTCAATGCACTTTGATGTGAAAATTTTGCCCTGGTATTTGTCATTCTTTTGGTACTTGACATGCAAACTAGAACTTGTCGGTATTGGCTGCCTTGTGACTCGCTACCCTTTTCAGCTGAAACAAAGAGTCACATGTTAAGTCACATGGTTTGTGTGGTACTCATCATTTTTAGTACTCAACCCGCCTCCCGGAACCAATTAACGACTACTGAGGTACCACTGTAAAATAAAACACTAAAAACCAAATAATTTAAGATTTTTAAAAAATAAAAATTAAATTACAAATAATGGAGAGTTCCAAGATAGGGAGACTTGCTTGTACTTGCAATTATATTAAGAAATCCAATGAAATGAAATTTCATTTTAGAGTCTTTTTTTTTACAGATAGAACTCTTATTGCAATACATGAAGAATGACCCAAGAGAGGCTGTAAAGAGGCTTTCTATCCAAGATTTAAAACTGCTTGCAAAAAAAACTCCACATACTTGGAGCAACGAGAATATTGAGGTATAGAAACAGCATCATGTTTTGTAATAGTATGTGGGAATGACCTTGGGAGACAGAGAGATGCAGCCAAGGTCAGATAAAAGGCAGCTGAGCTTATTGCAAGAATGTGGGAGGGCAGGAGGCTCAGAAGAGACCCTCCCTAATTCTGTGGCTGTAAAGGGGGGGGGGAAATTACTTGCAGACTTGCAAGTTTTTGTAATGTAGTTTTACAATAAAATAGAATTGGCTCATCTGATTGTGTTTTTAATTTGATTTATCTAGTAAGGCTGACATGCTTGCTTTGGAATTGACCATTAAAAGCTGCATTCCTAAATCCTTGGATTGGGCAGGAAATGATTTGGTTTACATATAAATAAATATGCATAGAATTGTGTCTATGAAGGCTTGCTTAATATATCAAGTCAATGTAAATCTTGAAACAACTATGTGTTCTTCCATCACATAGTATTTTGGTTTGCCCTGCTATACTAACATGTTCTAGTTATGTTATTTCTTTGCTCATGTTTGATGTAGGTCTTCTCTTTAAAAAAAAGTTTCTTTTAATTTTTTTTATTTATGCTGATCCACAACAAGTATTGTTGTCGAATTATTTTATGGTTTATTTTTAATCTTTCTTATAAGATACTTCTCAGGTGACCTTATATCCTTGATGTGGCACTTGAAAATTTCAAGTGCCTGGATAGACTAGGGATTCTGAGAAGGATTGTTTTGTATATATTTGCCACTAACTTCTACTTAAATTTCTTGTGCAGGCTGAATACAGTTTCTGTAGTATATTTAAATACTGTGTTTGAAATTGAAACATAGAACTCATTTATTCATTCATATTTAGCTCCAAACTAAAGAAAAATATATAATGCAAACTTTCTCAATATGGCACATTTAGGTGCTGCAAATTATGGATGACTAAATATATTACAATTGGTCTACTAGACATACAGTGGGGCAAAAAAGTATTTAGTCAGCCACCAATTGTGGAAGTTCTCCCACTTAAAAAGATGAGAGAGGCCTATAATTGTCATCATAGGTAGACCTCAACTATGAGAGACAAAATGAGAAAACAAATCCAGACAATCACATTGTCTGATTTGGAAAGAATTTATTTGCAAATTATGGTGGAAAATAAGTATTTGGTCAATATCAAAAGTTCATCTCAATACTTTGTTATATATCCTTTGTTGGCAATGACAGAGGACAAACGTTTTCTGTAAGTCTTCACAAGGTTGGCACTCACTGTTGCTGGTATGTTGGCCCATTCCTCCATGCAGATCTCCTCTAGAGCAGTGATGTTTTGGGGCTGTCACTGGGCAACACGGACTTTCAACTCTCTCCAAAGGTTTTCTATGGGATTGAGATCTAGAGACTGGCTAGGCCACTCCAGGACCTTGAAATGCTTCTTATGAAGCCACTCCTTCATTGCCCGGGTGGTGTGTTTGGGATCATTGTCATGCTGAAAGACCCAGCCACGTTTCATCTTCAATGCCCTTGCTAATGGAAGGAGATTTGCACTCAAAATCTCACGATACATGGCCCCATTCATTCTTTCCTGTACACGGATCAGTCATCCTGGTCCCTTTGCAGAGAAACAGCCCCAAATCATGATGTTGCTACCCCCATGCTTCACAGTAGGTATGGTGTTCTTTGGATCCAACTCAGCATTCTCTCTCCTCCAAACACGGTGAGTTGTGTTTCTACCAAACAGTTTTACTTTGGTTTCATCTGACCATAGGACATTCTCCCAATCCTCTTCTGGATCATCCAAATGCTCTCTAGCAAACTTCAGACGGGCCCGGACATGTACTGGCTTAAGCAGGGGGACACGTCTGGCACTGCAGGATCTGAGTCCCTGGCGGCGTAGTGTGTTACTGATGGTTGCCTTTGTTACGTTGGTCCCAGCTCTCTGCAGGTCATTCACTAGGTCCTTCTGTGTGGTTCTGGGATTTTTGCTCACCGTTCTTGTGATCATGTTGACCCCACGGGGTGAGATCTTGCGTGGAGCCCCAGATCGAGGGAGATTATCAGTGGTCTTGTATGTCTTCCATTTTCTAATTATTGCTCCCACAGTTGATTTCTTCACACCAAGTTGCTTGCCTATTGCAGATTCAGTCTTCCCAGCCTGGTGCAGGTCTACAATTTTGTTTCTGGTGTCCTTCGACAGCTCTTTGGTCTTCACCATAGTGGAGTTTGGAGTGTGACTGTTTGAGGTTGTGGACAGGTGTCTTTTATACGGATAACAAGTTCAAACAGGTGCCATTAATACAGGTAATGAGTGGAGGACAGAGGAGCCTCTTAAAGAAGAAGTAACAGGTCTGGGAGAGCCAGAAATCTTGCTTGTTTGTAGGTGAGCAAATACTTATTTTCCACCATAATTTGCAAATAAATTCTTTCCATATCAGACAATGTGATTGTCTGGATTTGTTTTCTCATTTTGTCTCTCATAGTTGAGGTCTACCTATGATGACAATTACAGGCCTCTCTCATCTTTTTAAGTGGGAGAACTTCCACAATTGGTGGCTGACTAAATACTTTTTTGCCCCACTGTATATGGCCTGCTTTTTTTTTTTTTTTTGAAAGTGTTGCCTAAGATTGTATTTCAACTAGTTTCATAGTCTTGTTCTTCTACAAATAAACAACTGTAGCCAACAGATCTTGGAAGTAAAGTGCAGGATTTCCCAACATGCTTAACTGCCTTCCTTTTTTCTCCTTTAGAAGTCAGTTATTTAAAATAATATTTCCGATTATCTATTCATAGGAGATCCAAGGAGGTTTCATTATTTCTGGAATCTGTTCCTTAGCCAGTATTAGTTAGTTGTGGTTGTTTTTAAAAGAACTCTTTGCCAGTCCATTGTGTTAAGTTTCCGAATAGGAAAATTTTGTCTGGAAAAGATTACTAATTAGATTACAATTTTTAAAGCAAGCTTGCCTGGAACAAAGCTGACAGCTGATTTCTCGTGGCAATAAATAATGAAGAGGAACATAAAGTTATCACTGTGTAGATCAGAATCAATTTTATAAAAACCACATCCATCTGGTATCATCTTCATTTTTTATCTCAGTAATTGGGTCTTTTGGTCATTATATTGAAGATTTATTAAGTATTTATAGTCTTCTAGTAAAATATCTGTAATGTGGTTTGCTCATATAAAAGCAAAAGGAAGGGAAGATATAAAATAAGTGAAAACCTTGAAACTTCCCATGAGATTTATTTTGGCTACAGAGATGAATGCTTCTGCAAAAATGAAAAATATAATTTCCTTTTTAGTACGGGCTCATAGTAAAAAATGACAATAGAGGTTATCTTAGCTTTTAAACCTAATTGGGGTTTTTATATATTTTAATGTATAAAGTATAAACCCCCCTAGTTGTTTTTTTAAAATGTTGTTTCTAAACCAAACATTTGCACTAAAGAAATTCAAATGTTCACTTAAAATATGCCAAAATGCAACAATCATGGGGTATTTATTTGTGGCTTGCTTTCATCCTATATAGTTTTTCATATGTCTTGGTACAGTTTCATCTACAGGCTCTGTGCCTCTGCAGAGCTCACATTTGAAAATGGAAGGTTTTGCTGAAAATTCTGTGTCCTGTATGCCAGTTTCTTCAACCTGCTTCTCCCTGAACTCCAGATGTGATAGAATATAGCTTGGAATAGGAATTGTAATCCAACACCACTGGAGGAAATCAGTATGGAGAAGAACACTTTATGCCTAACAGAGAAACCCATGTTGTCTTGCTCTGTTCACTTTTACCTGCCATCACAATATAGCCTTGCATCCAGGGTAACTGTTATAAAACCCAATTATAATGTGGAGGAAGGGCTTTGATCACCCAGTTGTTGTATAACCTCAAAGTATTATTTTAAGGTAGCCAATAAAACATTTGTCAATAGAGGTACTTCACTGACTGAGCTATGAATTATGAGATGGCAAATAGATGTATCCATAAGAAAGGTTGAGCGCCAAAAAATTGAGGCCTTTGAACTATGGTGCTGTAGAAGACTCCTGCAAGTCCCCTGGACTGCAGGATGATCAAACCGGTCAGTTCTAGAGGAGATCAACCCTGACTGCTCTTTAGAAGGCCGGATCCTGAAGTTGAAACTCAAGTACTTTGGCCACCTAATGAGAAGGAAGGACTCACTGGAGAAGAGCCTAATGCTGGGAAAGACTGAGGGCAATAGAAGAAGGGGACGACAGAGAATGAGATGGCTGGATGGAGTCACTGAAGCAGTAGGTGTGAGCTTAAATGGACTCCAGAAGATGGTAGAGGACAGGAAGACCTGGAGGAACGTTGTCCATGGGGTCGCGATGGGTCGGACACGATTTCGCAACTAACAACAAAATAGGTGTATGCAAATTGTCTGGGATTTGATGTAAAATGTGTTTTCTTTAAAACCATTTTCCTCTTGTCTGTCTTTTAGGCCCTATGTGAATGTGCTCTTCAAACTCCTTATGACAGCTTGAAACTAGGCATGCTATCTGTGCTTTCTACCCTGTCAGATACAATAGCCATCAAACAGTACTTCAGCATTGCTCCAGGTATGAATAAATTATATCAGCCTAATTCTGGGGTACTTTTCTTATTTATGTTTTTATTTATGGCATTAACATAAAAAATATTGCTAGTGAGTAGTCCTTTTTCTTGAGAAGTGTTGAAACTGTGCAGTTTATTTTAATCATGCTGGAGTGTTTCAACCATGGTTGTGACTGGAATTTTCAACTGAGTTTCTGGTTCACTGTTTCTTATTAGAAATTGCCACAATCAACGTTTAGAAAAAGCTATGGGTGTACTGAAATGTCTTCTTTGGACAAATCAATTTTCTTGCATTTCTTGTATCTAATCAGACAGAATTTCACCAATCCCACATTCTTTACAAGCTGTTCCCCATAGGTGGTTTATGATAACAAACAAACAGAATCAACATCCTCCCCATTGCCAGACTTAGAATAAAACTTCCACATATTCCCATCACTTATACATAAGTAAGCCAAATCCATATTTTAATATTTCTCCAGTTATATTGCCCATACTTGCTCTATTAGCATTTTCCTACATTCTCAAAACATGGTTTTCTTTTTATCTATTTTTTCTTGAACATTAATAGTTATAGCATTATTTTCATTCTTCAAGGTTCAGTGTGGTCCCCAAACAAATCTTTGAAATACTTTTTCCAGCTCCATTTCCCCAATTCAGCCTCATGTCATTAATCTAGAGTAGGTTACCAGCCTTAGTTGTACCCATTTTATATACATTTGCCGCTAATACTCAGACGTGTACCTGCCAATTTTGTCAGATTTTGAGTGGTTTGCTCAAATGCAAGCAATGTCCACTTTTTGTCCAAGTAACTTCATGCTGTCCCAATCAAGCTAGGATTTTTAATTTAGAGATTATCTTGCAAGTCACCATATTGTTATCTACCTTCCACCACTTAGGTTAGATTCAATATACTGACACACACAGGATGTGCATGTGTCTATATATTCTTATATATATATAGACAGCTATTGTACAGCTATTGCATGACAGTAATGTTCAAATATATCAGTGTGCAGAGTTCAAAGCTTAGATAGTTGAGATATAGGATATGTCCAGAAAACGTGATGATGAGTGACCAAGATATTGAAATAACTGTATTTCAATAATGCAGTTACAGATAGTCCTCGAATTACGAGTGTAATGGAACCTGTACATTCCACTCATAACTCAAAAACTTGTAGAGTGAATCTCGTACCTCGAACGAGATCACTCCCTTTCTCATTAAGTGCACATGAGGTATCTTGGGGGGGGGAAGGCCGGGGGGGCTAGTGATGGAACAGGCCCCCAAAGCCTCCTCAACCCACTAAGAAATGCTTCCCCCTCCTTTCCTGTTGCGTCGGACTCACTTACCTTGCAAAATCTGTCTCCTCTCTGCCATAATTTCTTTCCATTTGAGGGAGAGGAGAGTCGGCTTGGAAATGCTTTTTGCGTCAACAGTGGAAGCTCCTGGGTGCCATAATATCGCACAAGTTCAAACAAAAATGCTCTGCAAAAGAGATCATGGCCCCTGAAAGCTTCCATTCTAAGGGGAGGGGAAATGTTTGCTTCGTTTGCATGTCTATGGGACAAAGCTGGGAATTGGAGTCAGCCAGGCACAGGACCAATACCGTCCAAAGCCCGGGTGTGCTGCTCGCTCACGTGCTCCAGCCTTGGTTTGAGGGCACTAAGCCTTCAACTGAGTGAGGAGGCATTGTGGGGTAAATCCCCTTGGACCTGCATCCAAGCTGCTGGCGGTGGCTGCGGCAGCAACAACCACCTGAGTGGCTACGATTTCCCCTCTTTAGCCAGCCACCCATCTTGCCCAACCTACTCCTTGCCTGACCAGCCGGTGGCACAAATCTTGGCCGCTCTTCTGCTTATACTCCTCCCCACTCCACCGGTGGTGGCAGCTTCAGTTTCTCCGCTCCGTCCAAAACGACGAAAGCGGAGGCACAGAGCAGAATTGCTCTCAAGAAAACATGGGTGTGCTGCTTGCTTGGGTGCGCCGGTCTTGAGAGCAATCCCGCTCTGCACTTCTACTTGTTTCCACTTGGACAGAGCAGAGAAACTCAAGCCACTGCCGTTCAAACACTTTTTATCCAAACGCAGACCTGAGAGACATTGGAAGGTCCATGTGCCTGCCAGTGGAGTGCTTCAGAAACAGAAAGGAATGCTCCGTATGACTGAGGTCTCCATTTGGATAAAAAATGTTTGAGTGCCTATGGGGCTATTCAATATGCAGGGATTTGCTGCGTTTTGAAGCTCCATGTGACAGTCCTTTCCATTTCTGAAGCGCCCCACTGGCAGGCCTTTTCTCAAGCCCTTTCCTGGTGAAAACAAGCCTCTGGAACGAGCATGCCCCACTCTTTCGCTCCATTTTCGCCAAGAGAGGAGACAGATTTTGCAAGGTAAGTGAGTCCAGCACGGCAGAAAGGGAAGGGGAAGCAGTTGTGAGGATGGGGGGGGGGAGAATAGGGTGAATGTTTCAGAGCCTCTGCGGTCGCTCGTAAGGGCGAACGACTGCCGTGATGGTGCAATATTTGTAATTTTGGGATTTGCTCGTATACACTAGGGGGTGCTGGTTACGTAACTTCAAACAAACGTTAAGTGAATGCTCCTAACTCAGGGATTATCTGTATTATTGTTGTCAATTAAATTTATCTTGAAGGAAAAGGTTTATTCATTCTGGATCTTCCCTAAAAATCCTCTATACAAATTGCCTGCAGCCTTTTGAAAATCCTCTTACGGTTTTTTTTCTCATTCACTCCCTGCAAAATTGTGATTCATGCTGCTCTCATTTCTCTGTTGATGTTTGGATGTGTTCATCTACTCATCCCTAGAGACTTGCCAATACTATTAACACAGCTAACATCTTGGTTTTCCCTTTCCTTTGAAAACTGCAGAAAAAAGCTTGTTTCATGTAATAAATGTTACCATGCTGCTTAAAGATGACCTTTTCTTACCTAGGAACAAAATCTACTACAGCAAGGTCATCTGATCTGGTCAAGCTTGCCCAGGAGAGCTGTTATCATAATAATCAGAATATTGCAGCACATGGAGTACGTGTTCTGACAAATATAGCTGCTTCTTGTCAAGAAAAAGGTAATTCCAAAAGGTGTGGAAGGAGCAGTGTTTGCAGAACAGTTTATGATGATTAGCATAGCATATCATGTTCTCATCTGAGAATGCAGTATAAATGTTCCTAAGTTCCACTGTTTTCTATTGCTGCTTCTTTGCTAATGCTGCTTTCCAGTTCCTAACCAAATCTTATAGCCTTTTTCATAATGCCATTTTGGCTGGATGCCAAGCAATAAAACACAAATTGTTTGTGTTTTGGTAGAAACATATGCCAGTAAGTCTGGTAAGATTAGAATATATTTGTTTTTGGAGTGATTTTGGCTGTGTTCTGTTGCTGTGATAAGAGCTCTATACTCCAGGGCAAAGCCTTAATATAAATAATTGTAAATGTAATTTTCCACAGTCCTGTGTATAATAGTGACTTGAGTGATTAGTATCTAAAGAATAAAGCATTATAATCTAGTCTAGAGAAAAGAAGGATTAAGGGTGACATGATTAGTAGTATTCCAGTATTTGAGGGACCGCCACAAAAAAGAGAAGGCCAACTTATTTTCCAAAGCATCAGAAGGCAAGACAAGAAACAATGGATAGAAACTAATCAAGGAGAGAAACAACCTGGAATTAAGGAGAAACTTCCTAACAGTGAGGACAATTAATCAGTGGAACAACTTGCCTCCAGAAGTTGTAGGTGCTTCATCACTGGAGGTTTTTAAGAAAAGACTGGACAGCCACCTGTCTGAAATGGTATAGGGTCTCCTGCTTGAGCAGGGGGTTGGACTAGAAGACTTCCAAGGTTCCTTCCAGCTCTATTCTGATTGATTGAGATAATTTATCTCTCCCCTAGAACTTTTGCCATTGGAGCAAGATGCAGTCTTTGGCCTTGAATCTCTTCTTGTTCTTTGTAGCCAAGAACCAACTTCATCTCCCGAAGCGACTTTAAAGGTAAATTGTAAGGTTTTTTTCATCTTGTCTCTCATACTAATTGATATAAGAGATTTTCCTGTATATTTGTTTAATTATTATTATCTGTAACTTTAATTGTTATTTGTTATTTTAGATGTCTTTGTGATTTGTTACTGCAATAGTTGGTATTTGGAGCTGTCCTGGATTACACAAAAGGTGCAGTTAGTGAACAAGGAATGACACTATTGTTTAGAACAAAATTTAGTAATTGCATTTATTCCCAGGATGCTTCCAGATTTAAAAAAAAAAACCAGTTAATGCTTTTTGAGCCCTTTATATTAGCTGTGCTCTTTCTATTATGCAGACTGACCCAATCATCAGGATCTTCAAAGGAAATTCTTTTTCAGGTCTTGTTAATGGGAATAGCATGTTTTGCAGAGCACAAGAGAGAACCTTGTTAGTGATGTTGCTCTAGTTGGTGCCAATATTGATTTTATTTTGATGCCAAAGAAGTGTTCTGGCTCTTTTTCCAAATTTTGGAATCATGTAGTTTGACATCAGTATACATTCTGTTAATACTGAATTGCAGAATCTATCGTTTTGAAATTGTTGTGTTTTTATTGTGTTATTATCCTTTCTGGTTTGTTTTTCTCATTGTACTTACTCAAATTATAAGTATGCTAATACATGTAAAATCAACATAAGAAGTTAAGTTTTGAAAATAGAGCCTTGAAAGGGCTCAGAGAGAATTTGACTGATGAATTGTCTATGTGTTCTATGTAAAGGAGAAAGTCAAAGAAACCATATCAGATATGGATCTTTAATAAGCCAGGGCATATCATTTAATAAACTCTGTCCTTGAAGTAGCCTGCTCCTAGCCTAAATAACAAAAAGATACAAGCCATTCCACCCTCTTTTGGAACTTAGATAGGCGAAGAGATTTTGAATTCCTTTTGCCACTGCATTTGCCGTGTGCTGCCTCTGTAATCAAGGGCTGATGTCATGTCAGGCAGAAAAAAATAAATGAGAGGACCATAATGTCAAAAAATCTTTTAAAAAAAATAAAAATAAGATGGGAAATATGGTTTGTTCACACCCAAGTGTCTGCAGAGCCATTCCTACCTACTATTAATATCTACAGAGACATCTATTATACCGACTATTAAATGTGGAGTCTTCTAATTGCCTTTTGACTAGCCAGAGAGGGGAAAATGGGAAATAGCAATTTAAAACTATCAGCATAACATTGAACTTTGGTTTAAAATTAGATACAAATTGATACATTGATGCCCAAGTATGTAGGAATTAGTAAGCAATTTGCTTCAGATTATTTTGTGTTATAAAAACTGTGATTACAGATAGTCCTCAACTTAAACCCAATCATTTAGTGACTGTTCGAAATTACAACGGCACTGAAAAAAAGTGACTTATGATCATTTTTCACACTTACAACTTATTTATTGCAGTATCCCCATGGTCACATGATCAAAATTCAGATGCTTGGCAGCTGATTCATATTTATGACAGTTTCAGTGTCCCGGGGTCATGTGATCACATTTTGCGAACTTCTGACAAGCAAAGTCAATGGGGGGGGAGCTAGATTCACTTAACAACTATGTTACCAACTTGACAGCTTCAGTGATTCACTTACCAACTGTGAAAAGAAAGCTCCTAAAATGGGGCAAAACTCACTTAACAAAAGTTTCGCTTAGCAGCATAAATTTTGGGTTCAATTGTAGTCATAGGCTGAGGAATACCTGTAATAGATGGTATCTTTTAAGAAAAACAACTAGGGTATCCTGAAAGCTGAAAAAGTGCCATCTTGTTTTTATGCAGATCATACTCACTTGTATGGTGAAGCTGGCAAAGAGTCGCCCCCATCTGAGCCAATCCATCGTGGAGTCCTTGTTGACACAGCTACCTCGTGCTCAGGAGGCTGCTAGAATTCTCATATGCCATTGTTTGGCAGCCATTGCGATGCAGTTACCCGTCTTAGGAGATGGAATGCTGGGAGACCTGATGAATCTGTATAAAGTGATTGGATGTTCTGCTTCCAATAAACAGCAAGAGCTTTTAGTAAGAAACTCTTGATTCAGAATATTTCTTTTAGGTAACAGATGAAGCTGTTGGGATTCAGACTGAATAAACATTTAATGAACATTCAGCAGAACTAGTTGCTATCTGACAATATATGTAACACTTAAATCAAGAGTGGCAAATTCAACTCCCAGAATTCCCCAGCCAGAGTTGAAGTCCACATGCCTTAAAGTTGCCAAGATTGGACATCCCTGACTTAAATTGTTGTATTTATAAACAGAGTGAAAAGCATGACGTCTTTATAAAATTGATATCTTTGACCACCTCTTTTCTAAGACTACGTTGTTTTTAATTCTCCAGCTCTCCCAGGAAAAAATTGACTGATAAAGAAAAACAACGAGGGTATCCTGAAAGCTGAAAAAGTTTGCTGATAAAACCCCCTAGAGATGCTGATAAAACCCCCTAGAGATGCCAGTAAGATTAGCCAATTACTTCAAAAGGACAAATTATTTCCAAACCTGATAGGCATGAGGAATCTAGTGCTTTTCAAATAAAACTTCCAGAAGATCTATTCAGGGAAACTGAATTAAACAAGGAGTTTTACCTTAGGACTATCTGGAGAATTATCAGTCCTTGCCAATTGAGTTGAGGGACCAACAGCAAACAATTGCACTGACCAGCTAGCTAGTTTTGTGTTGAGCTTTCCAAAAATTATTCCACTTGGTCAGTAAACAAAACATTACAGAGTATTTAATGAAAGATATCACTGGATGTTTTGAAATTCCATAAAGTAAGTAAGATGCTTAAAAAAACAATATTATTTGCATAGTGACTATAGACTGGAGATTTTGTTAGGAAAGCAAACCAAATCAATCTAAGCCAAAAGGCCCTGCTTTAAAAAAATACAGCATAGAAAAAAAGAGAATAATGGGGGAAGGAGCAATGAATGGGGAGAAGGAACATTACAAGGCAAAGGCTGCCTATAGCTCCTGAGTCTTCTTTTTGGTCTAATTCCTTTGACAGTAATTAATGAAAACTGAAAGCATATTTTCCTTCATTTTAGAGGTGGGAAACAGCTGAAAACTATAATGCAATCCTTAGAAATAAATCACATTGGAAAACAGCTGAGATGTACACACACCCCAGCCCTGCCAACATATGTCCATTGGAGTTGAGCAGCTATTAAATTCAAATGAATAAATATGTGAAATAACCCCATCCATTTTGCAGTATTCTATCCTCCCCACATATTGAGTAGCCTCAGTCTTTGGAGCATTGCCTGTACCTGCAGTAGAGAGCAAAATGAAGCCCAAGAAGAGATAAACTGTGTAAAAAAAATCAGTCTGAGAAAGTGTAAGAGAAGAAAAATAATCTTGAGGGTGTACTTCCAAATGAGAAAAGAAACAGTGTAATCAGAAAGATGGTTAAAATAAAACAATATGCAATGCATTTTAAAATGAAGGTAGCAAAGCAGTACCCATGTAGAAAATAAGAGTTAAGTGAACTTTCTCATTGAGCCAACATTGGAAATATAAAAGCCCATTTCAATATAACTTTTTGTTAAAAAAAAAAAAAGCAGCAGTATGACTGTTCCCAATTTTTGTTCTGCCCAGTAGATGGCATTTATTTTACATGGTTGGCCTGGTTGGCCTTAGCAAATGCAGTGGAAAATGTGAGAACTTCACACTGTTGCTGACTCTCTTCTTAACATGCTGTGGAACCTGGCTTAAAAATATACCAATATTTGTTAACAAGTTCCTTTATAACTGATTTTCTTCCTTGAGTCCTGTATTCTTTGGAAACCTTTACCTTAGTACTTAAAAATGAACAATCATAAATTTAATGTTTATGATTAAACATTAAATGAACATAGGTTGCTGGATGAATGAATAAGAACTGCTAAATGTGTTACATTACAAGTAGCCCTTGGCTTATGAACATTTGTTTAATAGTAGTTCAAAGTTACAATGGCCTTGTAAAAAGTGACTTAAAATCTGTGACTGCACTTATGACCATCACACAACCGTTGTGGTCACGTGATTGTAATTTGAGTGCTTGGCAACCGGCTTGCATTTACAACCAATTGTGTGTCCTGTAGTCACATGATTGTGATGGGCAACCTTTTTATGAATTTCCATCAAAAAACTTCCATGGGGAAGCGTTTTGTTAAGCAAACCACCATTGTTAACAACCACCATAAAACCCCTCATAAAACTGAGTCCAACTCAATATATGGTCACGGTGACCACAAATTCTGGTCCCAACTATGGTTGGAAGTCAAGGACTACCTGTATCTACAAAGCAGAGGGGTGCCCATTTCGAACAGTCAGTCCTACCCTGAAATCACAAGAGATTTTTTTAGTTAAAAAGTTGCCCTAATGTTTGACAGCGGTAAAGCAAGGAAGTTTTATTCTATCATTATGGGAAAATAGTCCTATATCATTATAAGGAATGATTAGAATCATTATGGGAAATGCTAATGTATTTCTCAGTGTGACAATTTTATTCAGATTTGGATTTGACCACACTTTGAAAATTATAGGGCATTGTATTTCTAGAATGCAGAATGACAGACCTTGTACCATTCCAGACAAATGGCTGTCCAATCTCTTTGTAAAATCCGGTGTGAGGAAAAACCTCACAACTTCTGGAGGCAAGCCATTCCAGTGATTGTTTTTACTGACAGGATATTTCTCCTTAATTCTAGGCTGGATCTCTCTTTGTTAAGTTTCCATCCATTCCTTCTTATCTTGCCTCTCAGGTGCTTTGGAGAATAGGTTGACTCCCTCCTCTTCGTGACAGTCCTTCAAATATTGGAAGACTGCTATCATGTCATCCTTAGTCCTTCACTTTGTTAGAGTAGACATTCCCAGTACTTCAAAAACTATACATTAGACTAGAAAATCACTAGATAAGAACAACCAAAACGATCAAGGGAATGAAACAGTTTCTCTACAAGAAATGGTTATAGCTCAGAATAAAAAAAAAAGAGGGCGACCCTCTTTAAGCGATGCATAGAGAAAGATTCTGTTCGTATATTGCACTGTTGTAGCATGGTTTATTTATTTTGGCTTAGTTTATGAATAGGCCAATATAGTGCATTCAGATATTATAGTTTAATCTGATATCAGCATGTTGGGCAGCAAGTTAATATTGTAAATATCCCTATCATTAAAGCTGTTTTCTCTTTCTCTGCTTTGTCCTCTCTTGTGCAGTGAACAAATGCTCTGGGCTCTCTTTCCTTTACACTAGCAAAATTGTGGTTTGCATATTTCACAGAAGTACTAATCGGTACGGAAGGAGAGTTTGAAACAGGTAGTCTTTGACTTACAATCATTTGTTTAGCGATCATTCAAAATTATGACAGTACTGAAAGAAGTCTATGCCTCCCGTTTATGACTGGCATCCTGGGATCATGTGACCACCATTTGTGACCTTCCCAGCTGGCTTCCAATAAACGAAATCAATGGGGAAAGCCAAATTCTCTTAATAACCATGTGATGCATTTAATGACCACTGTGATTCCCTTAACCACAACAAAAAAGGTAAAATTGGGTGCAACTCACTTAACTACTACTTCACTTAACAATTGAAGTTCCGGTTCCAGTTGTTGTAAGTCAAGGACTACCTGTGGTCAAATTACTGATGCTCATCCAATTCAGCCTTCTATCAAGACTTTGTGTGGATTTTGACTCAGCCTTTTGCTTTTGCTTTTTTTTCTCATTAGGTTTCTCTTGCTACTGTGATATTCGTTGCCAGTCAGAAGACATTATCTTCTGAAGTGAAAGCTGTTATCAAACAACAGCTTGAAAATGATTCAAATGGATGGACAGCTTATAGGATAGCCAGGCAAGCTTCAAGAATGGTATGTGGTGCATAGTTATAAATCAGATTTTTTTAATGCACAAAACTTTTTGTGTTTTTTCTTTTGTATGCTTTATATAAACTTTGCTTTCAGAGGTAATTATATATAGTAAGCATATAGCAGAGGCAGGTGTCCCACTTCTCATGTAAAATAGATGTATTTTTGATGAACTTTAGTAATAGCACTTAGACTTATATACTGTTTCACAGTGCTTTATAGCCCTTTCTAAGCTGTTTACAGAGTCAGCATATTGCCCCCAACAATCTGGAACTTCATTTTATCCACCTCGGAAGGATAGAAGGCTGAGTCAACCTTGAGCTGGCAGTCAGCAGAATTAGCCCGCAATACTGTATTCTAACCACTGCACCACCACAGCTCTATGTTCTTTATTTGAAAAAGGATTTAAAACAGAGTTGAAGATGTGAAATAATTTATGTAGTTTATATAATTTATATAAAGTAAATTCTTCTTTCCTCCAATAGATGGTACCCAGTGGGCTAGCAAATAGATAAAACAATGTAATTAAAAGCACAATAAACACACTTTCAAATATTTCTGTGCACATTTTCAGCTTCATCAGCTAAAACCCACCTAAGTGTTAGAGACCTACCTAAATAGAAGTTGCATTTGTCTGCTGGTAGAATGCAGCAAAGAGAGAACTGGTCTGAAAGAGACTCGGTATCAAATTTCAGAGCCTGGGAGCAGCTACAGTATGAAGAGCAATTCTACCTCACATTTCCATCAGCCATACCTCTAAGGATGGCAAGCCTAAAGCAAGTCTCTGTAGGATAATGGTTTTTTGTTTTTTGTTTTAGACAACCACGTCCCATCTTTTGTAATGTTTTACAAATCATAACTATGGCTGGAAACAAATTGGTAATTTGTGGAATTGATTTGTCAGGAAAATCATATTCTCCCGGTAATTAATGTGAGACAATGGTGTGAACAGATTATTCAATTTTTTTTCAGCCACCTTTTATTAGTTTTATAAATAATATAAATTTATAATTTTATATGTGTCTACGTGTATTGTATATGCATTATACATTTATAAGACATATCCTGGGACAGACACATTTGGCACACAAAATCTTCCCTAGGGAGATTTTCTCTTGACCTCTACTGAAACCTTAGCATTCAGTTTCAGTACTGGGTTCAGGAGCAGACCCAACGTGAAGACAGTCTTCAAGGAAGAATGTAAGCCCCTTTCAATGTTATGTATTGCCTCATCTTTTTCTTTTTAAGCAACTAGAGTCTCTTGTGGCTTAAATGTGCCAGATTAAATTCTGGTAACAAATGCCAGTTAGTCAAAATTAATTTTCTTGGCAAATCAAATTATGTTTATGCAACTGACGTGGTGTTACTGAGAGCACAGTACGGTATCATGTATATGCTATTTGGGCAGCTGTTGATGGGAATGTCTGTATACTGGAACACAGGCACTATTACAGCACAGAAGGGAAGATTGCCAGCAAGTTTGATTATACTTGAGTTATATATTGCAAGGCTGCTTCAGATACATGTTTATTGCTATCTGCTATGTTTAAGTATAGAGAATTTTCTGCTGTCTTCCTGTTTGCCTTTACCCTTTGTAGGGTAATCATGGCATGGCCAAAGAGCTTTATCAAAGCCTGCTGACTCAGGTAGCTTCGGAACACTTCTACTTCTGGCTGAACAGTCTGAAGGAGTTCTCCCATGCAGAGCAGTGCTTAACCGGGCTGCAAGAGGAAGATTACAGCTCTGCCCTTTCTTGCATTGCTGAGTCACTAAAATCTTATCACAAAGGAATAGCATCTTTAACGGTCAGTATTTTTTTTTTCCCTTGCAGAGCTGCTAGTCAAAGTACAAGTAGTCCTTGACTTACAACAATTCATTTAGTGACTGTTCAAAGTTACAGTGGCACTGAAAAAAGTGACTTATGACCGTTTTTCACAGTTACAACCTTTGCAGCAACCCCAAGAATATGTGATCAAAATTCAGATGCTTGGCAACTGGTTCATATTTATGTCCGTTGCAGTGTCCTAAGGTCGTGTGATCACCTTTCGCGACCTTCTGGCAAGGAAAGTCAGTGGGGAAGCCAGATTTGCTGTAACAACCGGGTTACTAACTTATCAACTGCAGTAATTCACTAAACAACTGAGACAAGAAAGGTTGTAAAATGGGGCAAAACTCACTGAACAAATGTGGGCTCAATTGTCTTCATAAGTCGAGGACTACCTGTAACAATCTTTTATTTTTTTCCCTGTTTTGAGCTACAGCCTTCTGTGTCCTTGGAAAACCAATATAAGGTTTATATCTCATGGTTCAGAACAAGCTTTGGCTGGAACTGAGATTTCAGCAGTGATCCAGTGTGTTCTTATTTAGGAGATGGCGATTATATCATTTCCTAGACCTCTGGTATGCCCAGACCTGGATAGGCGCTCCCGTAAGCTTCCTCTCTTTCTGAAGATGAAACCAAATATAGTTAGTGGGGCATTCCAGTGGTGCATGTGAAAATCTGGTCTGATATATCCTTTTCTTTGCTCCTGTAGTCCTCCTTTTTATCCATAGTCCAAAACCTGTCCAAATTAGGAAGTCTGATAGCCTCTTTGTAGACTGTAATCTATGCCTGGATTATTTGAAGTCTAGCTATATCTACTGCATAAAAAAGAACAGGAAAAAAATCCCTTGCACCTACAGCAATAAAATTTGTTATTGTTGCAGAAGCAAACTCAAGAGTGTGTCCTCATTGAATTAGCAGTGTGGGCAATGTGAAAGGGAGGAGTGTTTGGTCTCTCAATCACTTCTTTTACTGTGTAGCTAGTTTACTCCCACAGTAATTTCAGCCAGAAAATACTGCTGTGTAAGAGTGTAGGTGTGAGCACATTATTGCTTTGATACATGCATTCACTTTTCTCCAAGAGTGAATATGGAGGAGGCAGAGTCAGAACACTAAGATTTTTGACTGCAATTTGAGCAATCTTTGAATCTTGGTATAATCACCCAAATGCCAAAGTTCCTTTCTTCAAAGAGAGACCTTTCTTCCTACGTGCTTCTTCTTTTTAATTAATAAAAATATGGCTTTTGCAGGAGTACAACCCTGTTCCACATTCCTGAAGCATTTAAAAAGAGAGGTTAACTTGCCTGCTGCATATATTAAAATGAGACAGAGGATTTGCAACTGAATAACCCATTGTTCATTTCAGAAATGCTGTATTTGCCACATAATCTTGAGGTGCGTTAGTAAAGCTGAGATGAGGAAAAGAAATAAAGTTGAGATTTAAAATATCTTTAAAGCTTCATTCAAAAAGTGACTCATCAGCCAATTTGGTGTAAATTAGAACATTGATTTTGAATTAGAGAATCCTTTGGTCAAATTCTCACTTACGTCTGAGGCTGGGCCTATTTACTTGCTTCCCAGGTTTACTCTGATACCCCTATTTTACTGGGCTCTAAGTTGCCTGAAAGAAAAATGAGGTACAGATGCAGTGATTAAACACTCAAATCAATATTATAGATATAAGCATTACAGATAGTCCTCAACTTACAACCACAATTGGTACCAGAGTTTTGATATCTAAACAATATAGTTGTTAAGTGTCATCACATGACCAGGGTCAATTTTATGATCATTTTTATAGCAGTCATTAAGCAAATCATCACAATATTTCAGTCAATCATGTAGTCTTTAAATAAATCATGTGGTCATTAAGTGAATCTGGTTTTTCTCATTGACTTTGCTGGTTGAAGGCCAGCTGAGAAGGTCATATATTGCAATCATGTGACTACAGGACACTGTAGCCATTTATAAATGCAAGCCAGTTGCCAAGCACCCAAATTGCAATTGTGTGACCAGAGGGGTGGTATGACTGTCAGAACTTAAAGGATGAGTCATAAGTCACTTTTTTCATTAGATGGATTAAAATTAAATGAATGTTTTTTTTAATTGAAAAGTTTTACAAAAAATTACAAAATATACCCCAAATCCACCCACCCTACCCCCCTACCCCACTTCCCAGAGCTGAATACAGGGTAATAAATATAATAATCATAATCTAACTAACATTAACCAACTATATAGATAAACAATATAATGCACTTTAACTCTCTTTTAACACAAAGTAAACAATTTAAGAATAAACTTAATCATATAAACAAATTAAAATCCCAATTTATAAACAACACAATATTATAAAATTTCCCCTATACTAAACTAATAATAATAACAACAACAATAATAATAATATTCTAAAATTTATTCATAAAATAAATGGAACTTTTTAGTCCCATATTTATTCTGAATATAATCTATCCATTTTCTCCAAACTGAAATGTATCTTTCTTGTGAATAATCCTTCAAATAAGCAGAAATCTTAGCCATTTCTGCTAAATTTGACACTTTAAGCGTCCATTCTTCTATAGTAGGCAAACAATCCTTCTTCCAATATTGCTCTACCAACAGCCTTGCTGCTGTTATTAAATTCAACATCAAATTAATTTCCTTAACATCAAAGTCTACTATAATACCCAACAAAAATAGTTGAAGAGTAAACTTTATCTTTCTTCTAAAAATATTCTGAATGTTCCACCAAATTTTAATCCAAAAAGCTTTTACATTTCTACAAGTCCACCAAATATGAAAATAAGTTGCATCCAAACTACCACATCTCCAACATTTGGGCTGCAAGTTAGGATACATACAAGACAACTTTTGGGGATCCAAATGCCACCTATAAAACATTTTATAAAAATTTTCTCTCAAACTTTGAGCCTGAGTAAATTTTACATTTCTAACCCAAATTACCTCCCATGTGTCCAATAGAATCGGCTCTTGAATATTTTGTGCCCATTTTACCATACAATCTTTAACTAATTCCGTTTCAGAATCCAATTCTATTAAGACATTATAAATTCTCTTTATATAAGCTCAAGTTTGATCTTTAATCTGTTTTATCAAATTCGCATCCTCTAAAGTAATACCAACCTTTTGATCTAAACTCCACCTAACTAACAATTGATTATATTGAAACCAAGAGTGTACAATATTTTCTTGCTTCAGCTCAGCTAAAGATTTTAGTTGCCAGTCCTTCCCTACCAAACTAAGTAATTCCTTATAAAAAATCCTATCCAAATTCACTCCTCTAGATACCCCCCTATCACATGTCCGGGAATCCCCCAAATTGGAATTTTATAATTTAACCTATAATAATGCTTCTTCCAGACACGTAATAAAGCATTTCTTAAAATATGAGATTTAAAAACCTGATCTACTTTTTTATTATAAATTAAATATGCATGCCATCCATATAATAAATCCCATCCCTCAAGAAGAAGTATATTTTTATTTGTTAATTTAAGCCAATCACTAATCAGAGTTAAAGCCACCGCATCATAATACAATTTTAAATTAAGCGCCTTAAGTCCTCCTCTTTCCCGTGCATCTTGTATAATCTTAAACTTAACTCTTGGTTTTTTTTCCCTGCCCAAATAAACTTATTAATACCCTTCTGCCATTCCTCCAAGTTGGCATCTTTTTTCAAAATAGGTATCATTTGGAACAAAAAAAGAAACTTTGGAAGAACATTCATTTTAATTGCTGAAATTCTCCCCAACAAAGATAATTGTAATTTTTTCCAATCATTTAAATCCTTTTGCACTTTTACCCATAATGTCTCATAATTATTTTTGTATAATTTAACATTAGAAGCTGTAATATATACTCCCAGATATTTAACCTTTTTCACTATTTCAAAACCTGTTAATTTAGCTAGCATATCCTTTTCCTTCATAGACATATTTTTCGGTAATATTTTAGTCTTATATATTATTAACCTTAAAACCTGAAACTTTCCCATACTGGGTTATAATTTCCACCAAATCCCTTACCGAATCTGTCACAACCAGATCATCAGCAAAAGCTCTCAACCTGTAATCATTCTGTTTTATTTTTATTCCCTTTATTGTAGTTGATTCACGAATTTTAATTAATAAAATCTCATTGTTAAAACAAATAGCAATGGGGATAATGGACATCCTTGTCTAGTACCGTTTTCAATTTTAAATGCTTCTGTTAATCCTCCATTAATTATAATTTGTGCCGATTGCTGTTGGTATATAGCCTTAAGAGCATGCAAAAATTTATCCCCAAAATTCATTTTCTCTACAACTTTCAATAAGAATTGCCAGTTTAACTGATCAAAAGCTTTTTCAGCATCCAAAAATATCAAAGCCGCAGGAATTTGATTATTCTTATCCAAATACTCAGTTAGGTTAACAATTTGTCTTACATTGTATTTCATATATCTTCCAGTTATAAATCCAGATTGATCACTATGAATCAATTGCTTCAAAACTTGCATTAATCTATTTGCCAATATTTTTGAAAAAAATCTTATAAGCTGTATTCAAAAGAGATATAGGTCTATAATTCTTAGGCTGGGTCAAATCTTGATCCTCCTTTGGGATCAACGATATGAAAGCCCTTCTCCAAGATGGAGGTACCCCTGCTCCCAACAAAATACTTTTAAAAAGTTCCTTCAATGTTTCTATCATTTCTTCAGATAACATTTTGTAATAAATTGCTGTTAATCCATCTGTACCAGGAGCCTTACCAATCTTTAATTTTTTGATTGCCCAAATAATTTCCTCAGAAGTAATTAAACAATTCATCTCATCTCGTTGATCGTTAGAAAGTCTAGGAAAATGTGCTGCCTGTAAATACTTTTCTATATCTAAAACTTGTATACTTTCACTAGCATATAACTTTGAATAAAAATCTAAAAAACTCCTTTGAATCAAATTCTGTTGATATACCTCTTTACCTTTATAATCTATTTTCTCTATAATCCTTGACTTCTGTTTCTTTCCTAATTGGTAAGCCAACCATTTACCAGGTTTATTTGCATTACAAAATGTATTATGTTTCATATACCGCAAATTAATTGCAATCTGATCAGCCATTAACATATTAAATTGCTCCCTAAGCATAGTTATATAACCCTTAAACTATTATCCAATGGATTTAAAATAAGAGCCTTATCTTTAAGTTTAATCTTCCAACTTTATACTTTTTTGCATCTGTTTATGCCTGTTCGCATTATTCGTTTGAATGAAAACTCCTCTCATATACGCTTTACTAGCATCCCAAACTATTGGCATCGAAGTACCCTTATACATATTCAAAAGAAAAAAATCCTTCAAATATTCTCTACATTTCTGTACATTCACCTCATATCTAAATAAATTTTCATTCAATCTCCAAGTCCTTCTATTCACATCTTCAACAGATAACTCCAACCATACAGGATTATGGTCAGACAATGTTCTAGGAAAAATCTTGACATTCTTGACCCTAGAAAGAAAGTCATTAGTAATTTAAAAAAAATCAGTTCTGGAATATGATTGATGCCTGTCCGAGAAAAAAGTAAAGTCTCTTTCTTCAATATTCCATTCTCGCCAAATGTCTCTAAATTCCAAATCGTCCTTCAAGTCAAAAAAAGCTTTGGGTAGCTTAGCATGATTAGTAAGTTTAAAAGAACCCTTCTTATCTCTACTTGAATCTAAAACACCATTCCAGTCACCCATCATAATAACAGATTTATAATCCAATTGAATTAATTTCTGATGTATCAACTTATAAAACTGTTTCTGTTGTTGATTAGGGGCGTATAATCCAATAATAAGACATCTCTTACCATTTAATAATAAATCAATAATAACATATCTTCCTTGTGAATCAGAGTCAATTAATTTCGTCGACAAGTCTTTTCTCACATAGATAACTACTCCTTTTTTGTGCGGAGCAGAGGCTATAAAATGTAATCCCAGCCGGGAATTAATCAAATACTTTTGGTCCTTTAAAGTAATATGAGTCTCTTGCAAACATACAACATCATTCTTGTGTTGTTTCAAATAATGAAATTCTTTCTTTTCTGTGGTGAATTCAAACCATTAACATTCCATGTCAGAAACTTTGCCATCTTTAGTGGCATGAAGCCTCTGGAACACTGCTTGTAAATCTGCCGTCGAAGATGTCTTCGGTCTTGTTCCTCCCACTGGCTCTGAGGTAGTTGATTGCATTGTAGATCCAACATCCACTTTCTGTTGTTCTTTTTCTTTACGTCTATGAGCTGCATGAGTCATCCTCTGCTCCTTTGGATCATCTTTTATCTCCAGAGACTGTTGCATGGATTCAACCTGCAAATCTCCTAAAACTGATGACATTGCTCCTTTAGCCAGCTGTTCTTCAAGCTTTTCTTCAATTTTCTTAGATGGTGGAAATGGTGGTGTACCTGCCTTCAAAACGGAAGCATAAAAATCTCTTGCTTTAAAAATTGTGTTAAGTCTATAATATATCCCAGCATAGTTCACCACAATTCCAACAGGTAAATCCCATCTGAACTGAACCTGTCGTTTTTTTAACCTCCTCAGCCAAAAAAGCAAAGTCCTTTCTTCTTCTAAGAATTTTTGGAGGTATTTCTTTTAAAATTATAACATCTTGAGCTGCAATTTGAAATCTCTGCTTATAAAAAGCCTGTATAATTTCGTTATGAAGTAATCTTCTGGAAAAGTAAATCACCACATCTCTTGGTAGATTTCTCTGTCTCGCAATCCACGAATTGACCCTAAAAATTTTTTCTATTTCTCTCAAAATTGCTTCAGGATCACATCCCAAAATAGGAGCTAAATCTGCTGCAATTTCTTCTTTCAAATTCTCTTGCAAATTCTCTTTCAACCCTCTTATTTGCAAAGTATATTCCATATCCCTATATTGTGACATAATAATTTCATTCTGTGCTGTATCAACATTATTTTCTACTTTTTCCACTCTATCTTCTAACCTTTCAATATTTCCCACCACATCATCCACACGCTCATCTAGCCGTTCTACATGAGCTATTAGCCCTTGGAGAGCCAGCACTATATCTTCTCTCATCTCCCTATTTTTCTCCTCAAAAAGCTCTGCTGTCTCTGTTTTAATTTGTCGTGCTGTTTTCTCCAAAGCATCCTGTAAATCTTTGAGTGTGAATGCCAGTGGTGGGGGAGAGGGTGGTGGAGACTTAGGCTTGGATTGCTGTACAGTCTGAATTACAGGAGAGGAAATTGAGCTTTTAGGAAAAGCAGAAATTCCAGGACATTTAGAAGCCATTTTCAAACCACTTTAAACCACTTCTCTTATAAATCCAACAGTTACAAAAGATAAAAAGAGGAGACAGTAAAAAGAAAAAAGAGAAAAAAGAGCTTCTTTAAATGAATACCAAAATCCATTACTTTGTTAAAACTTTGTTGCCAAGTGAAAGTGAAAGTCTTTCTTAACAATGTCCTTTCAAAGAAAGAAACGGCATTCCTCCGCTATTTTTTTTATTTCCTCCCTTTGTTAGAATAATAGGTGTGAAAGATACTTCAATTATTTCCTGAGTTAAAGTCCCAACTTATCACAATTCTAATCCTCCTGGTCAGCTCTATCTGCTTTTTATTTTATCACAAATCTTCTTTAAACAGCAGATGTGGAAGCAGCGTCTGGCTTTGTTCCTAAGAACAAAGGCATCTCGGGATGTGGAGAAGAACCCAGACTCCGAGGGAGTTCTCCCCCTTCGCCCTCCAAAAAATAAATTTATGGAGGACCTGGTGAACTCGACCTCTATCTGAGTAAGCTCACCTTCTCCCGGGGAGGAAGGCTTGAAGCCGCGAAAGAGCTGTTGATAGCTGTCTCTGCTGGCTTTAACGCGATCCCAGGGTGGACGGCTTAAAAAAAAAGCTGCCATCGGCATGGTGATCGCCACCGGAAGTCAAAATTAAATGAATGTTTGTAAGTAAAGGACTATTTGTAGAATTTCCTTTTATGCCTTTACAAACATAGGTTGTCTATATTTATTCTGTAGATTTTCTGGATATAGAAATTATGTTTTCAAAGCAAGTCACTTGGTGTGATAGAAATAAAAGAATGGGTAAAGGGCTTAACCTTATTAGGTTAGCCAAATTCCTTCATTCTTGTGTTATACAATTGTCATTTTTGACTCCAGAATAAGGCAATTTGTCAAACTCAGCTAAGCAGAAATGAAACAATTTATATATAGAGCAGGAAATGTATTTAATTGCTTAATGCTATGAAAATGTACTAATTTTAATAGAAAGAATATATGAAAATTGAGGTTTTTACAAGTGTCAGGTTGAGCCTTTATTAACCTTGTAAAAGCTTTTTATTTGATGAAACTATAAAATGTGATCATATAATTCAGGGGTCCCCAACCAGGCTGCACAAGTGGGCAAGTGAAGCTTCATCTGAGCATGTGGGGGATCTAGGTTGTGTGTGTGAAACCATCCCCCTGCCACCCCCACTGGTCCGTGGAGCCAGAAAAGTTGGGGAACTGCTGATATAATTTATTCATCTCACTGGACAAACATTTGTTTGGTTATTTTGAGTGTCTTTAGCATTGCCCTTTAAGAGACTATTTAAAAACTGAGCAAATAAAGAAATCCTTGTAGTCGACATCAACAAAGTTGTGGTAAAATGTTCACCACTGCACCTGATCTGATGCCTATATATTCTTTACAAGTGCCCTCTTGGCATTTTCTCTCTCTCTCTCTCTCTCTCTCTCTCTCTCTCTCTCTCTCTCCTTCTTTTCCGTTATCCTGCCTCCTTTACCCTGAATTCAAAGGATAATTCAAGAATCAAATTAAATAATTGAAGTTTAAGAATATTACAAAACCATAGTATCATAACATATTTCATAACAATAGAACAGTAATCCATTGTTTCATCGTGTCTTTGAAAAACTACAGTCATTGTTGGGTTCTTATTGGAAAACATGTCCACTGTCCCCCCCCCTTCTCTTCTGAAGATGATTTAATTGGCTCAATGAAGTAAGTGAAATGCTTGAACAGACTGTACTAGGTCACCATAATTAGAGCATTCTGCAAGTGATATTGGTTTGGTAATCTATATGTTAAATATAGTCCATCTTCCAACGCAAATTGCAACAATCTCAAAACATAATCAGAAGCTACCATCTGCACAGTCATCTGTATAAGCGGTTTGCTGCTTTTAATAAATAATCCCTCGCTATCTAGACAAGCCCTTTTCCCTTTGGAAAATCATTTCCAACTATTTACTAAATTATTATTTATGAACTTTTTACTTTGGACTCAGATTATGAGTCTCCAAGTTATACCTTTACCTGATTGTTATTTTTTTTTTTCCTCCCAGGCTGCCAGCACACCACTTAACCCTTTGAGCTTTCAGTGTGGGTTTGTTAAACTACGGATTGACTTTCTCCAAGCTTTCTCTCAGCTCATTTGCACCTGTAATAGCCTGAAGACTAGTCCCCCACCTGCTATTGCCACAACAATTGCCATGACTTCAGGCAGTGATCTCCAGAGATGTGGTCGTATTTCCAACCAGGCAAGTGACCTGATCTACCTGTGCTGCTGTCATGTGAATATACTTCTTTATCGTGAGCTCTGTGTCAAAGCAAGAATATACAGTAGCCGGAACCATAACACTCTGTGATTACTCACAAGTTATACATCTATGCAAATCCCCTTTTCTAGAGTCTAGAGAATTGCATTTAGTGCTCATTTAGTGACTGTTCGCCGTTATAACTGATGAAAAAGTAACTTTGTGATCAATCCTCACATTTATAACCTTTACAAGTATATAGAACAGGGTTGTCAGACTGCCGGCCCGCAAGCTGGTTTCATCATACCGAAGCTGTGCCCACCCCATTGCCAGCAATGCAAAAAGAGTCGCAATATGTCGCGACACATCACGTGTTGTGATGAGTTTGACACCCGTGATGTAGAACAAAGGAAAGCTGAAGTAAGCATAGACAGTTTCACATAGCAACCACGTAACAACTGAGTTGCCATTCCCATTTGTAGTTACTAAATAAGGATTACCAGTGTTTAATAGGAGCTCCAACCCCACAAGTATTACATCACTAGCCACAGTTCCTTAATTTTGTTTTAGACAACAAGTGTTAGCACATTCATTAAAATAAATTGTTTTCATTTTATTTTTCCTATTTTTTTCCCCAATTCTTCTTTAAGTTGCTTGAAGAAACCTGTAAGAAAAACTTGTGTTTCCACTGCAATTGCCTAATCTTTGGCCTTATGGCTCCAAGAAGCCCATTTCACAAGTGGTAGCATTGTAGGAACAAATTTTCTTTCTCTAGTGTGTGCTAATGGTGTTTTTCCTTGCTGAAAATACTATACTAGTTACCTAAGCATTGCTACTTGTTTACTAAAGTGGCTTCTCACAATTGTATTCTTAATTTGTGAGCCACACCGGGTTGGACCAAGCCTTAATGAGGGCAGAATCAAAGCTGTGGTAACTTCTTTATGTTTCTCTAAGCTTCCTACCATGTCCCAGAAATTGTATAGTGGCTTTCATGTCTCTTCAAGAGATCAGTCAAGAGTTACACTTACAAGATGGATAGATATATACCTCATTTTAATAATAAGTAAATGTTCCACTGCCCAGAGAGAATGTTTACATCTCTGTGCTTATCATTATTGATATTGTGGAAATGACACATTGAAGATTCAAGATATTCTATGAGGCCTGCTTTGCCTCATTCTGATCAAGGCAGAATGAAAAATAGGGATAAAAGCCTACCACTTTTCCAATCCATCTCTAGCACCATAAAGTTCTTTCACACAGTGGTATTCTCCAAATCTGTAACTGCTTCATCACTCACTGAGTCTGAGTCTTCATCACCTTCTTTTCAGTCATAGAAATCAATCCTGAAAGGAAGGAATCTAAGGCAGAGGCCCCCTAAGATTATAGTAGTTCTGTAATAAAATTCCTGTTTGCAGGTTTTTTTCTTAATGTCAGCTGAGACATGCCTTCTTGTAACTTATGGTCAATATTCTATACCCAATGCTTTTGAAAGCAGAAAACTGATCTTGTACTCTGTGGCACATTTCTTGAGGTATACGAAAAGGGCTTCATATCTGTAGGCCTTATTGTGTCGGACTAGATTTTACTTCCACCACTGCTTAATCTGTTCAATGAAATCCTGCTGGGTATCCCCACTTAAATGGAAATTGGAATGGTCTCCACAAAAAGCATGACTTTGTCAGGTACTGGTTAAATGTTTGGAGCATTCTCACAAAATATCCCCCTCCCCTTGTGCATTTTTCTGTAGGAGGCAAGTTAATGCTAGCAATCTCAGGATGCCTTTGGCAGTTAATTTCTTAAAGCACTCCAAAACATTATAGTTTTGCAATCTAAGTTTGTTTGTCAATTGTGTGATCTATGTCAAAGTTCTGACTGACAAACTCAACCAAGCAAATACGTCCTGGACTTTCTGATCTCTTAATAAGAGACCGGCACATATGAAAGTAAAACCAGCTCTGGCAGAACCCCTCCCAAACCCTTATAGTAAAAGCATTAACTTCTTTCTCCTCCCTCTGGGTCATGTTGCCCTATCAAGTTGGGAAATATTGTTATGAGAGAGTATCTCTGGGTCTAGCTAGTCACCTGGCCATTGTCCTTGATTCCCACAGTCTGCTTTCTTAATCTTTGAAGTCTGTATTCTACCTCTCCCCTCTCCTGGAGCTCATTGGCAAGTTGAGAAGCAATGTCTGTTGCAATAGCAAGACTGGGCTTCAAAACTTGACGGTCTATTTTTGTTTAATTTTTCAAGTTGCATGGAATCAAAAGTAGATGTTTTATATATAGAAAATTATTAAACTCTTTTGGAATTTACTGAAAGTGCTATACTGATATTTTAAATCAATAACTATTTTATGTTCAAAGACATTAGAGCCTTGCACTATCCCTAATAATACAGTTTTACATATACATATTAACATATCATTGAAACATTAGGACATTAAAAGAAGCACATCATCAGAAAATCGTCATTTCTTGGATACCAGGAATCAGTAGAGTGCATTGTTTTCCATCTAACTTACTCTAAAGGCCATAATACATGTAGCTTAGCAGGTCTTCCAGAGTAGATTCTCCCATAATATGAAAAGTCCTATTCCTTCTATTTATTCATCTGAAATGAGGGGAGGAGACATGTGAAATAGTAAAGCAACATGTGGGGTTGTAGCAAAGAGAAAATCTTACATGCAGCCGAACAGCAGAACAAGGGAACAAAGCAAATGCTTCTTTCAGCAAAGTAAGGCACTTTCAGCCACAGGAAGAAGCATGAATTGAGATTTGAGTCTGATCCTGCTGCCAATAATCTCATCTTGCTTCATTTTATAGAGAGCTATAAGAGAGATACTAGAGCAAGGGTAGGCAACCTTGGCTCTTTTATGACTCGTGGACTTCAATTCCCAGAATTCCTGAGTCAACATGGCTGACTCAGGAATTCTGGGAGTTGAAGTCCACAAGTCATAAAAGAGCCAAGGTTGCCTACTCCTGCACTAAAGCCAAGTACAGAAAGAGTTTTAGGATAGCATTTAGGAGTCTCTGCAGCAGAGACTGCCCTTTGATCTAAGAATAAGTGTACTTGGTGTAGGATGTTATAGGTAAGCATAGGAAAAAGGACAGGCCAATATAATATAAACCTCTTAGTTGAATTCTTTATGTATAATGTTCAGTCATGACCAGTGTCTTGTGTTTGTTTCTTTTTTCCTGTTTTGCCTCCACACTGTGTTATGCAGATGAAACTCTCCATGGAAGAATTCAGAAACCTTGCAGCAAGATATGGTGATCTCTATCAGTCTTCTTTTGACGCAGACTCTGAAACACTGAGAAATGTGGAACTGTATCCTGCTTCTTATAATATGAAAAAAGTTTAAATCTTGGAACTTAATACTAAAGCCTCTATTGTATTGTTATTTATGAATGCTAAAAAAAAAGAACAAAGAGAACTGTTTGAAAAATGTAGATAGGTATTTGATGTCTTAACTTCCCCCTTCACTGTAGTCCCCCATCAATTTGCAATGTTTATGAACATTTAACCACTTAAAACCCTACTGTAAGTGCTTGGATTTGCCTTGCCTTATATTGTATAGTAGGTATGCAAGCCAATTTTGTTTGAATTTGATTATCTTGCTTCTTAAAAATCAGAGCTTGGATGTTTTTCCCCCAAAGAGGCTCCCTTGAATCTATTGTGGCAGCTTAGGTAGAGCTAAATTTGTGCAAGCAATTCTTAGATACTTATAGTTTGAACATGCAAGTTCATTTTTAAAGTTAAAAACAAAGCATAATTATAGTTAGCTTGCCAGAATTCATCACTGAAAGTACGCCTTTTAATTTAATTTAAAATTTAAGCTTTGTCCCTTTTAATATAGCCCATCCCATATTGTCTTACTATTAGTGATTGTGTTTGATTATCACAAGTAGGATTGTGAAATCAGTGTCTTCTTTGCCCAAGAACAAAATACTCTGTACTTCAAAGCTGTGTTCTGAGTTGGGAACAAAACAAGACATTCCATTCCGTTCCATATTGTTGTTGGAGAATACAAAAGCCATTTAAAGCTTCAGAAACAAATTCCATTACCGATATGAGAAGTTTAATAGTTTGCAGAGAGTAATGCCATGCTGCTTTTGCTATATCTTCTCTGCTTTCTTTTTTAGATAAGTTGCTGAATGCAAAAATGTATTTTCTACAAGTACATCAAACCATGTATATTGCTTTCTTCCAGTTGCCAAATACAAAAACCACTCTGCTTCTTCATTTATATGTTGGGGGTTCACCCACTGGAAAAATTGGGCATTGAGATTACCCATTAACAGAGCTGCTGTGGCTGTGCTGTGGAGCACAGGTTACAGGCAAATTGCAGTTGTGTTAAGATGAATCCATTATTGTTGCTTGCTTCATTTCATGGCTCAGTTGTATAGGGATCTGAAAAAGTTGTCGTTCTTTGGCTGGATTTTTTTTAAATGTTGAAGTCACCTTCTAGGTAGTTTTTCTGCATATAAGCTGATAGACAACATAGCATAGTTACCAGTACTGTTGTAGCCCCAGGACGAAAAGAGAGCATGAGGGAATTCCTCACTATACCTTACGCAAGAATACTCAAAATTGTTTTGAACTTGATTCAGCCAGAACATGGACAACTCAGAATGTTCCATTATAATGTCTGAAGTGGAACTATTCTGAAGGTGGGTTTTTTTTTTCCATTTTGTCTCTACCCCACATTGCAAGCCACAGATTATTTCTTTCCTAGTTCTGAGATTTGTTTCTTTTTCCTCTAGCTAAGTATGCAAATAATTGAGACGGCAATTCTCTATATGCAAAATGTACTTTCTCTTACCCAATGGGAAATAGAAAAATTACATTTTTTAAAAGGCAGTATTACATGTTTAATTTTGCTTTGGGAAAGCAGGGCTCTCCCCATTTTTTCCATTCTGTTATTTAAGACTCCTGTTTGCTCCATTTATTCTTTTGGTAATAGGAACTGCTGCTACAAATGAACTTCCAACTGTGCATAGATCTCTCTTGCTTGCACATCGTCTGCCCTGGGCTGCTAGCCATATCCTGTGTTCATTCAGGCCTTTTATGTCTTGTACCACCAACTGCCAACTTCTTCTGACGTTTTGTTGTACTGTTACAAGAAAAAAAAGTCTCCAGGTTAAGAATACTTGGGCTCATTCAAATAAATAGGTTGACTTTTCAATGCTATAGGATATATCGTGTATGTATATCATGCCAGTTTCCCATCATTATTCAAATCCTTTTATGTGTAAGATAATATAAAATATATGTTGCAACTTTTCTTTGTTAATATTCTTTAACGTTACTTCAGGCAGCAGCAGAGTTGCTTATTAATATCACATGCAATTGAAGCTCTGATTTTAGATCCTGAATCTGCAAGGTATAAGGAATTCAGATTGCCTTTTGTCTTTCTTTTATTTGCTAACCTTTTCACGAATATTCATGTTCCTGCCATATGTTGGCTGGACATTATGGGAACTAAAGTCCAGCATATTTGGAAAGTGCAAGCTGGGGAAGGTTCAGCTGAGCAGTTCTGCTATAAAATAAAAGCTATACAACATATCTGTAAAAGAACACACATCAGCTACTTCTTGAATTCTTTATAAAAGCAATGTAGCAATAGCAACAACACTTAGATTTATATACCACTCTACAGTGCTTTACAGCACTCTCTGAATGGTTAATAAATATCAGCATATTCCCTCCCCACCCAATCTTGGACTTCAAGTATAAGTCTTACATGAATATTTTTTCTGGGGATGTGCTGTATTTTAATCTAAAGCCGCACAGGTGTTTTAGAATGGACATGGGCCTTATTTTTCATACGGTATACATATGTATAAGCAATTTTTCCGCTTGAATCCAAAGAGCGACCTATCTCTAGTGCAGTGTTTCTCAACCTTAGCAACTGGGAAATTCTGGGAACTGAACCCCACGTATGTTAAATTTGTCAAGGTTGAGAAACACTGCTCTAATGTCCTCCTTCAGGAAGTGCTTTTCCCATTATTTTCTGCTAGTGAGCATTTGCACATTTCCTGTGCAATGTTATAAAAGGTTCTGGGGCACATTTGAGATTTTGCATTCAGCCTTGATTTAGTCCTGTTAGGCTTCATCACCAATCCATATGAATCTGGTGTTCAGCCTAAAATCTCAGTGAGTTGAGATCTGTTTGAGCCCTTAGGCCTTTTTCGTCTTTTTGGAGAACAGTCGCCACTTATTCAATTCATTATTACAAAGGCTAGACTTGTAGATATACCCCAGGTGGTTTGGAGATACTTAAATGTTCAGGAAAACAGAGATGTTAACTGTGAAATAGAAAACTGTTATGGAGATTTAAGCAACATAATGGCTCCAGTATTGAAGAGAATACAAGAAGCTATCAAAGAATATTACTCTTGGTATATTGTGTTTCTATGTTTAATTTTGCATAAGTAATACAATTGATATTCCTTATTCTGTTAACTCTTTCAACTAGACACTTCAAATATGTGTAAATACAGGTAGTTCTTGACTTACAACCACAATTGGACCCAAAATTTCTGTTGCTAAGTGAGACAGTGAGTGAATTTTGCCCATTGTACGACTTTTCTTGCCACAGTTGTCAAGTGGATCACTACAGTTGTTAAGTGAATCTGGCTTCCCCATTGGCTTTGCTTGTCAGAAGGATACAAAAAGTGATCATGTGACCCTGGGACACTGCAACCGTCATAAATACCTGCCAGTTGCCAATTGTCTTAATTTTGATAATGTGACCTTGGGGATGCTGCAACGGTCATAAGTGTGAAAAATGGTCATAAGTCAGTCTTTCAGTGCTGTTGTAACTTTTGAACAATCACTAAATGAACCATTGTAAGTCAAAGACTACCTGTACAGAAAGTGCTCTGCAAGAAAGATAAAATAACTACACACTGAATATCTTCTTTTTTTTTTTTACAGCTTCCAGGAATATGGGTCTGCGGGAGTAGCCCATGCTGCAAGTGAATATGAAAGGAGAATGATGTCTGTGTTTGGCTGTGTGTTGGAAGAAGTGGAGGCACTGAACCAAAAATATGCACCAGTATCCTACATGGCAAGTAATATCATTTCTTATATAGAAAACACTCCAGCGTTTGGCCTGAGATAAGAGAACAGAATCCTCAAATTGAAAAGCTAAATATGGTTTTCTACATGTGTTTACGTATATTTAATAAAAATATTCTTCAATAGAAAAGTAGGAATGAGACTGCTTCTCTTTTCTGCCTTATTTCATTTCATTTTCCAGAACTTGAATTATTAAAATATACTTCAAGCTCTCATGCTGTGATGGACATTGTATAAAAGGTTTATCTGTAGAGCTTGCTAGAGACCTTATATAATTGTTCCTATTCAGTAATACTGATTGGGTTTCAGCATGACTTTTTACCAGTCTAGTATTTCTTTTATTGGCTCAATCATCTTTGAATACTAATGCCATTTATACTTGCTCCAAAAACAAAGTGGCAAACAATCAGTGTTGCATTGAGTATACTCTATTTTCCATACTTGGAATAAAATCAAGATTTTAGATGTACTTCAACCATTTTTTTTATTTGATCCCTTGGAAAAGGCAGCATAGATTTTAAGATTTTTTTTCGCCTGTGATGAAGATAGATTTGAATTTTTATGTTCATGGGAAAGGGCATAGATTTCTGAAGAAAAACTGAAATTACAATAACACCTGAACAGCAGGAAGGAGGACAATTATCTCAAGACTTGTTTGCATACTTCCTAAAAGCATCAGATTGACTAAACAGGATGCTGGATTAGTTAGACTTTGATCTGACTCAACAAGGTTAGTCTCCATTCAGATCCATATCTTTGCTGGCCACTTTTGTTGACTGTAGCACAACTTTGCCAGAATGCTTTTCCAACCAAGCAAGGAAATAATTTTGCTAATTGGAGGATTATTAGAATTAAGTCAAGATAAGCACCAAATTGATGCTGACTGTTAACATTAGATAGTCTTTGTGTGCCCAGTTCAGTTGTTCTTAGGATTTGCAGATATTCTTCCAGATTTCTTCCATTTCCAGTTTCCAATCTCTGGAGCTTTTTGGATCAATAGTATGTTGTGTCTTGGCTTCCTAAGCACCAGGAACTGAAGTACTAATGCCCAGAGTTTGTTCATGATGTTTCATATTTCCTTTGTAAAACAAATAATTCTGATCAGACTTGCCATTCTTTTATTCTAGCATACAGCTTGCTTATGCAGTGCAGTCATTGCCTTGCTGAAAGTCCCCTTGTCATTTCAGAGGTATTTTTTTCAGAAGCTACAATCAACTAGCATTAAGGTAAGCTATATTTGCATTTAGGTATAATTGCAGTTTCGGGGAAGAAATTTTATTTATAACTCCTAGATAAGCATGCTGGGAGAAGTGGCTGGAGTGAGGTGGGGGCAGCCAGTTGCTGCCTAAGCTCTGATTTACTAATGATGTTAGATTAGACTTTTAATGAAATATTTGAACTAGAATTTATATCTGAAATAAAGTTTTGATTTAAAAAATAATTTTAAACCACTGTTAGTTCTATTCTGCATTATGAGACAGTTTTATGAAGAGCCTCAGTTACAGTTTGTTATTGCCTTGTGACTTAATGGAAATCGAAATTTTCTAGCAAATAAAGATATTTCTTTTGAAGCAAGTAGTGCTTTTTTATGTATTGATGTTGGGGATGTTTTTTGTTTTGGTGTGCTGCTTCCGTTAGCTTGCTAATGCATTTTATTGTATTTTTTATTCAAACAACTATATATGGCAAAATAAAACAAGATAAAACTATCTTACATAAATAGAGAAATGTAGCACTTTGCAATTTTGTTTCTTTAGCTTGAATGAGTATCTCAGCTCTAAGCCACCTCTCTTCTTTTAAGTAGAGGGGTTGTCCTACTGTTGTGTTTTTTTTTTGTTTGTTTGTTTTAACTCTGGTAATAACTAACTGAGAAAGACTGTAAATGAAACCTATGCAAAATATAATATTCACAATTTATCCCACAGAAAATAAGAGAAAATAATTTCAGAAGGCTAATCAGTCTCTGTCATTGCTGGACAGAGAGAAAGTGAGACATAGTAAGGTTGTGTTTCGCTTCTGGTCCTCTATGTCTCTTGTCTGGGTTTTTGTCATCCCAAACTAATAATGGGAGGAAAACTATGGTATTGAAGGAGATGGGGTAGAAAGTAGATGTGCAGAAAAAATGATGCAACACAGTAGTGACTGCTGAATAATTAAGAATGACAGAATTAATATTGGATGTTGGATTCCTTCCTTCCTTCCTTCCTTCCTTCCCCTCCCCCCCCTCCAAGTTTCTGGCAGCATTTCTGAGATAATTTTGATTTCTGCCTGCTATACAATCTTTTGGAAGCTTGACAGATTCCAATAGTTTGAGTTGATCTTTTAAATTCTTGTGGTCTCTTTTCCTGCTTTATTTTCCTGCTTCATATTAATGGTTGCTTTATTGATTATCCATTTGGTATAAGATGGCTTCAGATGCCTCTAGTCTATTAACCATGTATCCTGCTTATAAAATAATCATGCAACTAGACAAATATATTTACGTTCCCTATAAATGGATCATACATTAAAGGCAATCATTGATGGAGAGCAGCTGGGCACAATATAGCCAAAAATGTTTTCCAATTATTGCCTAATGTCAATACATGCTTGTTTTCCATGTTCGGTAGAGACCTTAGTCACATTGTAATATTGTCACAGAGAGAGCATATCTTTTTCTATGAAAAATGTTTGATGTAGGCCAGGGGTGTCAAACTGCTGGCCCGCAGGCCGGACATGTCATCCGGAAGCAGCGCCCACCCCATTGCCGGCAATGGCAAAACCGTCCCGATACGTTGCGTGACTTCACGTGACGTCGCGAGTTTGATATGTCTGATGTAGGCGTTCAAAAGATGTATTTATGTATTTATTTTTTCCCAATCTAACATGAGATTGCATAGAAAGTACCTGGGATTAGAACTCTATGACTGTCAACGAAATACCTCTTTGAAAATTGAACCAAAGAGGGCCAAATAGGTGTGGGGAGAAACTGGCAAAAGAATGATTGATACTGAAAATGGGGCCAGATCAGACCAGGGGCTATGAAGAAAAAAATGTTGAAAAATTCCCACAGTGCATTCTTGTGGAAGGAACAGTTGGCCAGCAATGTGGAATCTTGGCAGCTGCTCTGCTCTAAGCAGCATCTCCTCTGTTTCGATCATGTGACCCAGAGCTCAGCGTATGCAGTATGCACCCCTTGCCTCCCAGTGCAGACATAAAACACAAACATGGCCACTGTGCCAAAGGTTTGGAAAGAATTCCTGAAGTCATGCTCTGCTTACTTTCCATGCTGTATTTTATCAAGATTATGCAATGAAATATTGCTGTGCGTGACTGAACTTTTGTATGCTATTTCTATTGAGAAATAGTGCAGTTTTTCTCCTAAATGAAAGGACTGCTAGTAAATAAGTAAATGTTAACATCCAGTTTAAATGCTACACTCCAATGTGCTTTCTAAATGTTATGGTAGCTCTGATGCTTGCATAGGTGGAAATTGAAATGTGTCAGTGTACAGGTCTCTTTAGGATGGGTAAAGAAAGCCAGCAGACAGGAGCAAGACTATTTGCCTTCCCAAAGAAATAGCTCATGTTTTGTGCTCTGCTACATCCCTTTCAGTAAATAGGTCACTGGCATATGGATTGGTGTGCATAGAGGATGAGACTTTAGGAATGTTTTAGTGATGTTCTTAAAAGAACTGCCTGTGAATTCAAAATGTTTGCTTACAAGCAGATCTAACGTATCTTTCATACCAACAAAATTATGTGTAAACAATCTATGCAGTGTTTTGTTTGGGAACATTTGAAATGCATTTTACCTGCTGCTTTAATTTATGCAGTAGATAAACTCAGTAATAAATGGCAAAATGTAGAATGTTCTCGGCTTACTTCCTGGCTGGTAGCAAGCAGATGGTGCACAAAACTTCTGCATGTCCCTCATTGCTAGTCAAAGTGGAAAATAAGGTTGAGTGGTCAATTAGTTTGGGAGGCAAAATGTTCTATTTATTTGAAGACTACCAAAAAAAAGTTGAATACACTAGAATGAGTTACTTGGAAATATATATGATAAAATAGAGATAAGGTCAAGAATGGATGGATGATGAATGAATATAAATGGAATATAAAAGCAAGTGACCAATTTGAAAATAGTAAATTGAGTTGGTATGGTTATATGCTGTAGAGAGAATGAACAAGATGGAAATACATGAGGGAAAATTGTATCGTTTGAGACGAAAAGGAGGATTGAGAATAATTGGATAGAATTGATTTGATTTATGAAACAGTAAAAATAATGAGGGTTTGCAATAATAATAGAGAGATATAGTGAATAGTATTCGTGTGCTCTAATTTTAATCATGTTTCCTTTTCTTTTTCTTTATCCCTTTATTTATTTATTGGTTTTGACTTTCTATTAATTTTATGTGTTTGCATTATGTTGCTTCCCCTGATAGTTAGGCATAAATATTTCAGTACTGCAAAAAGAACCAAAATTAAAAAAATCAAGGCATAAGCAGAAAAAAATATGCAAAACAAAGTAATCAAGTCGTGTGGAGAAAAATCCAGATTTTTCATCAAATTGATTCCCTAAAATGGATAGCTCTTCCCACCGTGCTGCATCTTGCTCAAAAGTTTACCTGATAAATCTCTCAAGAAAATAATTCCAAAGCACAGATGTAAGCAGAAAAGTAACTCTTTGCAGAAAGTAGGGAAAACTTGAGGTCTCTTTCAGGTAATCAGTTGATTATGTCAATAACAGTTGAGTTCACGTCTGCTTAGATTTGCTTGGAGTGTGTTTATTTAAGATTATCGGAATCAAAACCTAAGGGCTTTTGACAACTGAGGAAGCTTACTTATAACCTTGTACAATGCTATAAGAGTCATGTTTAAGAGCATAGGTATTTCCTGCAGCTGAGATTCTTGAGTTACTTTTTATACAGAGCAGGCACAGTAGTCTGGCTGCCTCCCTGCTTTATTCCGTAACGATGCACTTAATATTTAAAGCTTCAAATATGCAGTGGTTAGATTTCACACACATAAAGCCCTGTTTGATGGAGATTAGGTGACAAGAGGTCCATCAGTTGACCATCCTTTTAGTGCTGGGCTTTTAAATGATTCAACACTAATATACAGTGGAAGGAATCTAATTTCCATGTTGATGTCATAAAGCTTTGCTAAGTTCTTGAAAGGGTGTGAAGAAGGCAATTGATTTACTTGACACGTTTGTGTTGCTTATCTGTTTTAAGATTATATGTTCTCTGTCGCAAAAAATGTGAAGGTGCTGGATTAGGAAGCCATGAGTTTTAGTTGTTCCTCAACCATGAAAGATGGCTGAGTGACTTTGGGCTGGTCGCTCTGTCTCAGTCTAATGGTAACCCATCTTACAGGGTTGTTTTTATGGCAAAAAGAGAAGGCCGGAGCATTATGTATGCTACCTTGAGTTGTACAAAAATTAAGAGAAGATATAATAATATACTTTACTTATGGAAACAAAGATTTGAATCTATTTGACTCTATTTGCTTTATGTATTTTCCCCCAAAATTCTCACTTGCTACAAAAATATTTTTTAAAATAGCAAAATTGGGCTGGGGGGGAATGTTAAGTTTAATAGGAAGGTCCTTCTCTTCCATAACTCAACCAAGCTGAATGTCCTAGATACTTTTCTGTCTCCTATTAAAGTAAGTTTAATGGACATACAACAAAGTAATCATGAAATAGATTATATAATTTTGGAAGCTGTAATGTGAAATATTGCAGATCTCTCCAACTCAGCACTCCTCAGCCATGCTAGATTACAGATCTCATTATTTCCCATATCTGTGTGGGTTGAGATAATATTCAGTGAAATAGAAAAAAATATTGAAATTCTGGCTAAATGTCAGACCTGTCCCAGCTTGGGCATTTAGGAAAGAAAGACCCTAAACACCATTTGTAGCGAAAGGTATACTTTTACCAATGCCAAGTGGTTACAGCACAAGCAAAATCAGATATGAAAATTCCCATGTAAACCCAGCATTTTTCCCTTCTCCCAGGCCTCCCCCCCCCCCGGTCATCTTGTTGGTGTCCAATGATGTTCAGATTAGTTGTTTTGGTAACAGTTCTAAAGTTTGGTGCCTCTTAAATGGGCGTTCGCATCCATTCCCATTCCCGTGTCCTTGGATCGTTCAGCCCATTGCCTCTGGTTGGCACTTTTGGTCCCTGTCATCTCCCCTTCCTCTATCTTTCTATCCCCCCTCCTCATAGTTTATGGCAGACTACCCTCAAAATGAAGCAGGGCTGAAGCAGTGTAATGGCAGATCTGACACTAATGAAAATTTGGATAAAGTTTTGAAATCTCCTGTTTCTTTCAAATAGGGCATTATGCACACAGTAAATGCACTGATAACAGAATGAGTTCCTAATGCCCTTCTCTTGATCAATACTTTTTGAAGTACTGTACTTACTTTTTTCTCTTCTACTTGCATTTTGTTCTAATTAGTTTGTGGTAGTATTACATGTTTTCTTTTTTTCTGAAAAACATCAATTAATAAATATAAATATTATCTATTTCAGCTTGCCCTATCACCCTCTCCACGTAACCCTGCTGAGCCCATTGTGGTTCAAAATAACCAACAACTTGCATTAAAAATAGAGGGAGTAGTCCAGCATGGCTCCAAGCCAGGCCTTTTTCGAAAGATTCAATCGATCTGTCTAAATGTGTCATCAACTCTGCAGAGCAAACCTGGACAAGAGTATAAGGTAAAAAAAAAAAAAAACCCACTACAGCATGAACTGTCTACATTTCTGCTCCCTAAAACCCATGCACAATTAGAATAGAATTTCACTCCACTAGGTAGCAAGAATTTTTTACACTTCAAGTATGTTCTTGTCTATTAACATGAGTGCAAGCTTCTATGATGATTCTGGTTCCTTTGAAAATGAGACACTTGAATAAGACGCTGATCCTGGTGCTAGGTTCATATCCCCATGATGAGCATGGGGAAAGATAATCCTTGTCTTCACTTGCTCCATTGACAGGAACACCAATCGATAATAGTTGCTAGTATTCCAGCAAGCTTAAAAATTGTGCAGCTGTCTGACAACAAGAAACAAATCTAGTCAAGTGAAAGAGGACTATTCCCCAAGGGTGGGCAAGAAGACCTAGGAATAGCTCAGCAATTTGAAATACGGTAACTTAGAAAAAAATAGACAAATAACTTCATATATTTTGTTTAGACAAGCTAAATGAATATATGGAATATTTGTTGCTTATTTGATTCATTTCTGGTTAATAGTGTCTTCAGAAAACCTAGTCTGTATAAGTAAAATGAAACACTCAATATTTCTTTAAACATTTGGTTGCCTGGTGCTTGTTTTCTCCCACAGATACCCATTGACAACCTAACTAATGAGATGGAACAGATGGTGGAGCCTCACAATGATTACTTCAGCACACAATTCCTCTTGAACTTCATTGTTGTTGGCACCCATAGCATCACAGTGGAGTCCTCAGTTCGAGATCTCAATGGCATTGTATGGAAGACAGGGCCAAAAACCACACTATTGATTAAGTCTCTTGAAGATCCATACTCCCAGCAGATTCGGCTTCAGCAACAGCAGGGGCAGCAGCTGTCTCAACAACCACAGCAGCTGCAACCACAGCCACGGACAGCTTACTCCCGTTTTTAGCTCTCATATATCAGACAAGGGCCTATGTCAAAGGCATTACAGATTGTTTGGAATTTTTTTCTTTCCCCAGGGCTCACATTTCTTCCTCTATAACGGCAGCAGTCTTGATTCTTCTTTGTTTCCTTAAGCACAATTTGCATGTTTGAAATGCTGTGGGATCACTAATATGATAGTAGATTAAGGCAATTTGTGACAAACTGGTTATGTAAAGTTCTGCTTGAAGTTCCAGTTATCATCTTCATCTCACTTCATTACAGTTTTGCCCTTATGATGTAATACAAGTCCTAGTTTAACTTAAAAAACAATCCCCAATTTCATGTGATATCTTTCAAATGCAGGGTTATCAGTCACTAAAAGACTGGGATGGACCAATCTAAAAGATGCTTATAATAGCTTCCTGCTAAACCAGCTCATCTAACCAAGATTCAGTACAAGTGATGGAGTCTAGTTGCATTACATAACCCAGCCAATCACTTTAATCTAATTTCATCCCTTTTCTCTTAAACTGTGTTCTACTTAAAGAATATTTTATCTGAATTATTTCTTTATGAAAATCACTATGAAGCCTGAGATAAGAATAGTTTTGATTGGTATCCCAAAGCATCCATCTTCATCTGCACTGCCTGTGAGATATCCTTCTTGGTGAGTGAGCAAGGAGATCTAAAGGGATTTTTTAAAATTGCAATCATAATAGCTCTTTGAATCATCTAGTTCCCAGTTCCTGCTGTATATAATTCTGCTTATTACACTATGAGGAAGTACTTCCCCCACACCCTAAAAATAATACTATCTGGATTTAAAATAAATATATAACATAATGCATCTAAAAGTGGGAGAATTTTGATACAAAGGTCCACACTGAGAAGGTGGCATTGTTACTTAAAAAGAGAATACATTCTAAAGTAGAACAGTGATAGAAGGACAATGCATGACCGCTAACCTGTAATCTGAAGGGGATGCACTTTGCCTGCTATTATTAGTTCCTTCCTCATACAGGCTTAAGAAGTATCCTGTTGAGAAGATTCTCGCATTACCTATTTCATGAATAAAAACTTGCTGATAGATATAAAAGGAAGTCAATGGATCTGAACACTCTGATGGGCACATACCATAAATGGTTTGTGGACTGCTTATTATAGTAACAAAGGAGGAATTGTCCTTTGCAATGGGTCAAAGCCTCTTTTCAACTGGTTGTTGTTATTTGTTCGGTTGTGGAGAGTTTCCACCAAGCATGTTGGTGGAAATCCTCATTGTCTTATTCAGTTAAAGTGAGTTAAGGTGTGTGTGTGTGGTAGTTGCTTTTTTTAGCAAGAGGGGTTTTTATACTGATGGTAGGGAAATTACTCAAATAGGTTTTTATTAATTAAATTATTGTGTGGTTTTTTTTATGTACATGCCAGTTTAATAAATTGTTTTCAATTTTCATTTGGTTATTAAAAATGGAATTCCTTGCAAACAAAAAGGCATTATACACACATGTAGCCATTATCCAGTCAACAGACCTGTACATACATCTTAATAATGAAATAAATACCAGATCCCAATGCATATTGCAGCTCTAAGAACTCTTGAATCCAAGAGCCAATGCAATCCTAATCTTCATAACTTCAGAAAAAGTCTACTTTGGTATGATTATTTTGAAATCCAGTATTTGTTTATTTAAGTTATATCCTGCCTTTCATTCAGGAGCTCATGGCATATAGATAGTGCTCCATCCTACTTTCCCCACAATAACACTCCTATGAACTGAAGGGGACTGACTGGCCAAAAGTCAATAAGATTCTGTGGAGGAAGGTGGACTAGAAATTGGGCTTTATAGCAGAATGGTACATACTGTTTGTGAGGGAATTTGAGTTAGATTACCTGTTTGTTGACAACCAGCTCTGTTTTTCCCTGAGCTTAGGAAAAAAAAAACACGAAAAAGGGTTATTGTGTGCCTAAATATTTACTTGAATGCAGTACTGGATTAGATGAACTTCAGCAAATTGAAAGTGAAGGCATGGCTCAATTAAAAAACTTCCTAACAGGAAGAGTAGTTTGACAGTAGAACTAATTACTTGCAGATTGTTAATTGGTGGCATCACACAGAAGCAAGCCACTGCAGTAAGCTTCCATGTCCCATGAAACTTTAAGACACCATTTTAGTGTCTTAAAAGTGATTATTTTTATGTTGGTCTTCCCCAGCTGTCAACTTCCTTCATATCTGTATGCATTTGATGTCACACACATGTATACAAAGGTGGGGCCTCAGCTGCACTGTCATGCCTGGCTTCCTGACCTTTTTGACTTCTCCTTCAGATGACCCACAGCTACTATTATAGTGTTGATCCTTATAAATTCCAGGCTGTCATCTGACCACCTTACAACCATTAATAATCTTGTCTGTGATACATATGTCTCTCTTTATTTTTGATGTCTTAATTTCTCAACATGATGATTTACTGCCAAGTGTAGAAATTGCCTCGAGAGAAACACATGATGTAAGTAAATCACTGGAAAATTCTGTCTAATGTGCTATGTCACAGTGGTATAAACTGATCTAGACTTCTCCATCCCTGTTCAGGTGTTCTCATCTCATGTCTTGAACGACAAATTTTTTGAAGTCTCTGCTCTCCGTGTGACTCTTCTTTGAACATAATACTATAGAAATTATAGTCAATACATCTAGAGAGAACTGGGTACAGCAAGATTGTTCTAGATCCTCTGATTAGAAAGAAAACCCTTATCTAGATGTAGAAGGTCTTTCCTAAGACAAATTTATCCTGGCAATCCTCTTATTAATCCTTAGTCATGAACAGAAGGGTTTAAATCTAGCGGAGATGTAAAGATCTATTTAATGTTTCTTTACAAGCTCACTGAAGGAAAGTATTGCTTCATGAATATACATAGGACAGCTACCAAATTTTAGAATTACGACTTTTATTGTATAACATGTTCAAAGATTACTTTTTCACAACATTAGAAGAAAGTTATAGGAAATTTGCAAAAAGATTTGTAAAGAAACCCTTCAGAATAATGGTGACTGTCCAACTTGGAAAGAGAACATTCAGTCCCTTTGCATATATTTCTTTTCTACAAAAAAAGAGAGAATATATTAAAGATAGTGATAGCCTGAGCACAAATATTAAGTGAACTAAATGTGTGGGTCAATACAATGCATATACCTCCTAATAAGTTGAATGTTGGTTTACAAGGCAGTCTTGGATTAAAAATAGCTGACAATACTGAGAGTAAGTTTGGTGTAAAATTATTATGTGTCGTATTGATTAAACTGGACAAAACTGACCAGTACAAAATGCCCCTCTTTTAGCAGAAGTACAAAAATTACTGAGTGGTTGGGAGAGAAAAGCACCAGTGAAAGAAAAAATAATTTAATGAAGACTGAATCATATGTAGGTATCAACTGAACACATATTTTACTTTAGGTTTTTAAAAGCAGAGAACTTGAATAGAGAATGGAATGAAATATGCTTGAAAAGACTATGGTAGGCTGAGTGGAATATTCAACATAATAACTCAACAACACGCTATTGTAAGTCTCACACATGAAACTCATGTTCTGTCCTCCTGGATTGATTTGTTCTAGTGAACTCTTATTTTGTATAGCTGGTCAAGAAATCATTAGTGGCATGGCCTAGCCGTAGATTGACATTCCCTAACTGGAGTGCTTTCCAAAAGTTATTCCCATTGCCTAAGAGTAAAGCTTACTGCAAACTTCCCTTCTTCATTTTGGGACATACTGAACTTATACCATGTGATTAAAAAAAAATCACCCTTTGGGAAGTTGTAAATTCACTCCTTGTCATCATCAGCTGAAAAAGATCTTAGATTATTTGAAAAAGTGAATGAGCATGTTCATTTGGAATAGACCACTGTGCTAATACTGTGCAACTTTAAATGCTCATCATCTTTCCAATTTTCTGGAGCTCTTAAGATTAGAAATTTACTTCCTTTGGAAAAGAAGAGTCAAGAATTTTTGCACATGAGTTTCATGTAGTTTGAGCCACATCTTAGTTGTGTGCTAAGATGAGTGGCCATACAAATCTTTCAAGTAAATAAATTGAGCCAAGATTTAAACTACATAAATAAGTAAGATGTATTCTCACTGCATATAATGAAGATTTCTGAACCAAGCTGTTGTTGAAAAAAACAAGAGGATATATTAGAGATAGTGATTCCAAACTATCATTCTAAATTTAATTTGTGATTGCTAGCATATTTGCAAGATGTACTCTCTAAGCAGAGGCTGTGCTGAACCACCTATTTTCCTAGTACAAGGTGATTCTCTACAGTTTGAAATGCTCTTTAAGTCAGATTTAGATCATGTAGCCCATTTAATATCCATGTTCATGTCGCAATGTTTACATACAAAGATAAAATAAACCCTTTGGTGGCTGAGCAATGTTACAGTATTCCATGCCACAATGATATCAGCCTATCCCACTTAATCTGGCAGAAGGCATGCTGCAGTCTCCAGTTTGGCTGCTGAGATCTAGGGGAGCCTTTTCTGCCTTGGACCCTGCTTTTTGGAATATTGTGCTGTTTAAAATGAGGTCTATCCCGCCTTTTGGTCTTCTGCAAAGGCATTAAAATCTGGCTCTGCTGATTGGGTTGGTGTTCTGATGGAGGCACTCTATGTTGGAGATGGCTGGTGGACTAAAAGAGAAGATGCCACAACTGAACTGGTCTTGTCCATATAGCTAATGTTTTTTATTGTTTTTAATATTTATTATTTTAATTGCCCAGAATGGCTTTACAGAGATGGGCAGCGTATACATTTAATAAATAAATAAATAAAGATTTTTAAAAATGTTTAAATTTAATAAATAAAAGAAAATAAACATGTGTATACTAAATTAAATTAAGCAAAATATCTACGTATCTCAATCATCCAAGTCATGGTTATCTCAAAGATGCTTCCCTCCCCCCCAAAAAGACAAATGCTCTTGTTTTTTTCCTTTGGAAAATGTTTCACTTCTTATCCAAGAAGTTTCTTCAGTTCTGAACTTCTTGGATTAGAAGCTAAACATTTTCAAAGAAAAAAAAAACAAGAAAATCCAATTGCCTTTGGGGAAAAAAAGCACCTTTGGGACATCAGGCAAAATAGGTTTATTTGTCATTGCTCCAATATGTACCAATGTAATTAGGATAGTTCAAGCAATTATTTTTTTCTATCATCCTCTATGTTACAAAGTTGGATGATTGTTTGTTGTTTTCCAGAGCTCTTGCATTCCTTTACTATGGTGAGATTTATATCATCATAAAGAACTCTGACTTCCTACAGTTGCTGTTGCTGGCACAAGGCAATGTTGTACAAAGACAACTCATTCGGTTTTGTTTATGTTTTAGTGTGAACTCAGAACATTGAATGAACTATGCCATGGGTTGTGCAAACAGTCTAGCCTAGAGCGGCCTTCTCTATGAAAGCACTGCAACTCCCAGAATTCCTATCCAATATGACCGAACATTTACAAGATTAAGATATAGTAATTCTGGGCTATGTGATTACTCTCTGAGTAACTTATTCATTCTTGATTTAGCAATTAATTTACTTGTTTTGTAGGGGCCTAGACAAGCCTGTTTGGCTGCAAAATTAATCTCAAGCTCTATGTGCAAGGGGAGGGTAGATCCTACATGAAACAGTCATATGAAGCCTGAGGCAATATTACCACACATATACTTATGCATTTATCTCTTTCATGGTGTAGATTTCAAATGATTTAGGAGTTGTTTTGGCCTTCAGCCATCAATATGGAGCACTTTCTAAAATTGGCATCCATTCAAGATATTAATTTAAGAGCTTTACCTCTGTGGAAAACTTTTTTTTCTGCTTTTGGTTAACCCTTTTTATGTTCTTAACTATTTCTAAATATTCACTAGTAGAATAATAATTTTGGAAAGAGCAACTGAGTCTCTAACTCCCCTCAGAGGAAAAGTGTTCATTAAAATGTGCCCATCAGATGACTATCCGGTCTCTGCTGGCACACATCCAGTAAAGGAAAGCTCCCTGTCTCTTTGAATGGTTGGTCTTGCAATTGAACTGCTTTGACTGTTTGGAAGTTTTATGCATATACATACAGGTAGTCCTCAATTTATGACCACATTTGAGCCCAGAATTTATGTTGCTAAGTGAGAAATTTATTAAGTTTTGAACCCTTTTACGACTTTTCTTGCCACGTTTGTAAAGTGAATCACTGCGGTTGTTAACTTAGTAACACGGTTGTTAAGTGAATCTGGTTTCCCGACTGACTTGCTTGTCAGAAGGTCACAGGGTGGATCACATGACCCCAGGACACTGCAACCATCATCATTAGGAATCAGCTGCCAAGCATCAGAATTTTGATCATTTGACTATGGGGATGCTGCAACAGTCATAAGTGATTCACTTAACTGTGATTTGCCTAACAACCATGGTAAAAAAAGGT